CCTCATTTGTATTCTGTTCACGGCATGTATGATGAATGACTCAGTCAATTCAACTAGAATTCAGACGAGTGTAACATTTGATTTTATTGAGACTAACAGTATCTATGACTTAAACATTGCTTGTTGACTAATAAACTAGAATGAACTAGTCTAATACACACTAACGTTAACAACTTAAGCTACTTGCATCAAAAGAAAAAAAACCTATGGATATTTGGTTGAACACTCGTTATTATTTTCCTTGTTATTTCGACAATAGTGATAAAGACTTGTTTTATTTATTTGAATAAAAATTTGTACCAACGGACACCGAATACATATGCGCCACACAAGTCACTTGATTTGTGTGCAAGCTGCGATACTGCCCTGGTGCCCAAAATGAAGAAGGTGGTATTCCTAGGGGGCCATACTCCGAGCCTTCTACTTAAATATATGATCCACAAGGCAGTGGAGCAACATCGGGGGATGCGGTCTCATGGTGGCCTTGCGACCAACAATTGGTTCACACGTCATTTGTTCTCTCAGGATGGTGGAGCTCACGTGCACCAATAGTTTGGAATCAGGGTTTTCCAACTCCCCTAGGTGGACCCTCTGTGTTCACAAACCCAGTTAAAGAACCGGACATTCGCTTTTCGTCCTCTCAATTTCGTAAACACCACTCCCGCCACGAGAAGGCAGTGAGTAAAACTTCCCTGGTAGTGGCTGTATACGCGTGGCCATGTAAGAGCATTTTGAGGGGGAGAACGGATTCTACCCACCATCGACCTTACCAGGGTATTCGGGACAATAAATAATTGTACTTTATGGAAGCGATTGTAAAAATGATGTTATCTAGTGTCAATGAACGTATCATAGTTATACTGTCCATCATAGAGGACTCAGCTTTATTAATATTAATTCTGGAAAAATTATTCGAATAAAATCTTGTAAAGTTGTTCTCATTTTTAATTTAACCAAATGTTCGATATGTAGAATTATTGGATATTGAATCAAGAGAAAAAAAACTTATAAAACAATACAGAGAAGAATAATTCGATAAGAATATCATTTATGGGTGAACCGATCAGACATAATATAACAGGTCTCGAATTTGGGTGCTAAATTCACTTATTCATTTGGTTAAATGAAGTTTTGGCATTATAGCTGATGATCAGTTCGTGATGAAAACCCCGAAATCTAATTTCTAACCCTAACCATCAACTGGAAATTATAAATCTAATTCCTAACGCTGATTTATAACCTTTATTTAGTCTTCGTTATTAAGTGAACATTCTCAAGGTCACTTTAGCATTGCTCAAAGGTTGTCCATAAATTATAATCTCATCCTAATTGATTATCAATGAAACTAGTGATACATGTAAAAGGTAGAAAAAAAAACATGGTGAAACAAATCAAAATCTATGCTTAGTTCATTATAAATAGTGGAAAAATACAAAATGAAATCATATCATATATCTTTGTACCAATAAAAATATGCACAATCATTATTTTTGTGCAAAATACATTCAGATAAATTTCATATTAGTTAATTGATTTTAGTTACCGTATAAAATTAAAATTGATTTCAAGTCATAGAATTTATAAAAATTGGATCATATCTTAGATCTTGTAATGAGATCAGAGAAATTCACTATTACAATCTCATACTATAGTATCACAAATGTCATCCAGTATTGTCTTGATCTTAACAATCCTCCAGATGATATTGTAGGGTCTGGTATTATGTCAAGTCTGCATAAGTTATTATAGACTCTGAACAGATCAATCGATATATTCTTCTCAAGGAACATTTTTATCCTGTCACTTATTCGCTTGTCAATCTTGACTATTTTTATGCAAGCGTATGTTTATACATCTCTTATCCTACGTAATACATGTCTGTAACTCATTTTTGTCTGACTATAAATATTGAGTCACGCTTGGTTAAATTGAGTTGGTTTATATGCCTTTTCCATTGTTCTCTTCTATTCGCTTCGTTTCTTCGGTCGTTTGTTTGGATCAACGATAATCTGAAATACACATATTTGGAATTCATTCTCGTATTTAACTTATTTAATTCCGTTATTCACTAACGCGAGTTAAGTCGATAATTATATACGAGGGTATCCAGGATTGATGACATGTATATTTCAATAACTTGATGACAATCAATATACAATCGTACCTGTAATCAGATAATAGGACCACAAAAATATCAGTCAATGACTAAAATGTTAACTTTGATAGTCATGATAATGACTTGCTGAAACAATTGTTGAAGTTTTAATAGGATTTAGCATTCGATAGATTTTAATCCTGGTTAGGTGTTATTATTAGTGAATGCATTAGATTTATTGTTCTTTCTATGACCATTTTGACTAGATTTCGTTTCCATATTTATATTAAAATGATATACTACACATAAAGATGAAATCTAATCTAATAATATCATCTTCATCATGAGATGTGACTAGAAATCTTGGATACAATCTCATATAGGGTTATGGATTGTACATTATCACATAGCTTGAGACTATAATGAAATAACTTGTAAGGGTCTGTATTTCCTGTTTGTTAATAAGTCCCTTTAAAGATAAATGGATCCTGAGAGAATTACCTTAATATTGAGCATATACACCAATAAAAACTAGTCATTTGCAGTCTTGTTTATTAGCAACGTCTGATTGCAAACATATACAAATAAAATTCATACCAATCGCTTATGCTAATGGCTATATAAACTAAATACCTTAGTGGACACCGGGTTGGTGTTTGAAGTAGAAAGTACTTGGTTCAATTTCAGCATGAACATCTAAACTGAGATGCAGATAAATTCGGTTAACGAGTCACAAACAGGACGGAATGAACATCGTGAACTTGAAGATATGACATACTGAATTTGAGTTTTTCTTTATGAATTTGTTAATCAATATATTTCCAATAATTGAGATCATGAGTCAATTGAAGCTAGACCACCATGGAAAACCTGGAAGCACTGGACTACCGTTTCGTCCTATTGTGGGACTCCTCAGCATGTAAGTTAAAAAGATGTAATGAACAAACATTGAAATTTCACACAATCAAAGATTTATTTCTTTATTGAATAATAAAATTGAAAGTACGAAACAATTCCCATGAATAAACAATAACAACTGGTTATTTCAATTCTCAAACATGATCTATTTTGTATAATACAACAATTGAATTAATAAAATACATTTTAATATAACTAATATTTGATCTCTGAAATGAATCCTCAATGAACTGTGTTATGGAATTGAAAAAACAAACAAAAACTAGCATGGACTATGTATATATATATATATGTTCAATGTTTTCTAATTTTTAATGTTACCGTATGATTGATGTCAACTAGTGATAAATATCAGTCAAATATGACATTTTCCCAATTTATAAATTTAAGGAATCTACATTTCTTGGAAACAGTATTATTATTATTATTATTATTATTATTATTATTATTATTATTATTATTATTATTATTATTATTATGGATATTCACAAAATATGTCAAGTTTCAATAACACATATCTATAGACTATTTATTATATTCAATAGAAGATATTTAACGATCAAATTAACTGTACAATATGTATATGTCATTTATTTAAACAGTAGAATAGGAATTATAAGAGAAAAGAATAATTGAATTGAATAACTGTTATTAATTATAATTTTTTTTCAGTATTAATGAATGTGTTTAATATAATACAAACCAAGTGATAATAGTAGTATGTAGAAAAATAACAAAAAAATGTTTTTTTTTTAATAGAATATATATATATATATACTGAATGAGAAAACATTGTCATGATAAAATACATAGTACATTATAATAATCATAAACATAAACAATGTATACATGTTACAATTTCTAAATCATGGATATAAATAGATAGGTAAGTAGGTAGATAGATAGATAGGATAGTGTATACAATATAATCTTGTAATAAAATCAAATGTACTTCATGTTATTTATGACTTCATTTTACTTGATATAAACTAGAATGCACTCTTCTGAATAGCTTAATCGAAATGCAAAATAGAGAATAGTTTAAATAATATTAATTATAATAAGATCTATAATAATAATAATATTGATAGTTGAATGCGCGATAATGTGTTATACATATCTATTGATTTTATTTGATATATGAGAAAAATCAATAAATCACAAAAAAGTATTATTTACAAAGTGTATTTATTGATTTATATTTTTAATGATTAAATTCAATTAGACATAATCGATGTAGTGATGGGGGTCGGTAATTCGTGTGAAAGAAGAAGAAGGATTCTACTTTATTATTATTATTATTATTATTATTATTATTATTATTATATCGAGTGATGACTAATTCGATTGTGATCATGATCAAATTTTACAGATGCAAATGATTTAATCGAATAATAAAAAAGATCTAATGTGATTAACAGAGTGAGTTTGCCTCTGTGTATATATGAAATGTGTGAGATAGAGATAGAAAAAAATTAGGATAGATGCACTGTACACACACACACACACAAATTTGAAAGAAAAGAATATAAATTTGTGTTACCAGTTGATTGAATACAAAAGAGAGAATATGAACAGTTTTATATAAAAAGAAATCAGTAATATATCTGTGTACAATTTCAATGGAAAATAAACAACAATTGGTTATAATAATAATAAAACTCTCAGTGAAAAAACAAGAAAAAACAAATATGCGTATAAATGTGTACACACACACAATAGAAATAAACAGCAACAAAACAGAAATTGAAGTGTTCAAAGACAAAACACTGAAACTACACAAAATAGTGAGGACATTTTTCCAAGGAAAAAAAAGTCGAAAAAAGGCACACACCAATAAGAGAGAGGTATTAGTAGGTCATACAAGAAAAAGAAGACGACAAAAAAGCACAATAATATTAATGATAATAATCTTGCTTTGGCTTATCACAATGAGTAAATACATGAAGGTATAATAGATGAGTAGATTTAGAGAAGGGATAAATATTTACAGTACAGTAACATCATTATTATCCCCACCACAACTGTGGTGGTTATCATCATTCTTATTGATTTGTTGTTTTGATAATTGTGATACAAGTGCTTGATGAATAAATGCATATTGTTTAGCAACTTGTACAGCTCCAGCACGTTGACATCTTAATCGATTAATCACATCTGGTACATCAAGATAACCTTCATTTATTGCTTGTTGTAAACAAATATCTGTTGTAACAAATGTTCCTAGAAAGAAGTAAATGAGAACAAAATTTTATAAAAATTGAGCAATTTCTGAAACATTACAAAAAGGATAATTAAATAAGATATGATGAGACAAATAATGAGAGATTAAGAAAACAGGCAACTGACTATGGTTTTTGAAAAAAGTATATAAATGAATTTAACAGATACAATAATGCTGGAGAAGAGTATGTACACTGTTGCAAAACGTTTTTGAAATAGGATAAAATAAAAGACGTTAGAGAGTGACTCTAAGGAGAGTCAGCTCTCGCTTTCGAAATGCATCCACATGACCAAGCGTATACAACCACTGCCAGGGAAGTCCTACTCATTGTCTTCTCTCAACAGTGATGTTATTTACGAGATTGCGAGGACGAAAACCGAATGTTCGGCACTTTAACCGGCTTGGTGTACACAGGGGTTTTACTTAGGGGAATTGGAAAACCCTGATTCTAAACTAGTGGTGCACATGGGCTCCAGGATCCTGAGGGAACAATCGCTGGTCATTAGGCCACCATGAGACTGCATCTTTCGACATTGATCCACTGCCTTGTGGATCAGATCTTTAAGTAGAAGGCTCTGGGTGTGGCCCCCTAGGAAAACCACCTCCTTCGTTTTGGGCACATGGGCAGTCTTCCAACCCATACAAAGATCGAATGACGAAGTATGGCACATACATGTTTGGTACCTTTTTGTATTTAAATTAATAAATAGAAATTTAGATTGTAGGCATCATTACCAAGGTTTGACTTGATAATTTCGAATAAATTGAGCATTGGGTAGTTTTTTATAAATAAATAATATATTTTTAATATCACAATGACAATATTATTCTTGTGATTCCGTTGTACTAGTTAAACTTGGATTAATTTTAATTTGGTTTTTTATTCTCTGAAGAAGTGGCTTATACCAAGTCACGAAAAGTCAGAAAATCTGATTTCTCCACTCATTGAGATATTACATATATATTATTTATTTATAGAGATTTAAATTATTCATTTATGGGATATTAAGAATTTCATTTAAAAAATCCGTAAATCCCCTCCATAGACAACAATAGTTTAGTTAAGTATACTGACTCGGGTCAGTTTATTCATCATCACAGTCGTATAATTCTGGATAAATCAAGGAAATTTTGATTTAATGGAGAACAACTGAAATAATCGTCCGGGAAACTCATATTATGTAGATTTCCTCGATACTGGCTGGATCTTATGGTTCCATCAATTCTAATAAGTAACCAGTTGACGATTTGTTTGCGTCCGTTTTATTACTATGGTATTAACTACATGGGTACCACCACAAGTATAATCTACTACTGGGCCCGATTTTAGCTGATACCTTGACGTGATAATCGGACTTGTGCATTGTGATAACCCAATCGATATATATAGTGGGTGGAAAATTAGTTTCTTTAAATCCCAACATGCCAGTTATGTTGGTCGGAGAACGGTGCACACGCGTGCGTCAGCGATAAAGTGCTCCCCTTGAACAAGGAGCATTTGGAGTGGTTTTGAATCCTCACAATGAAATAAGAGGGTTGGGAAAGGTCGGACCAAAGAACAGAACACGACACTTCTGGAGAGTTCCTGTCGCCAGCAATAAAATCTTAAAAAGTACGAAGCTAGCTTATTTAAGATTACTCATAAAAGCTCCGTGTGTAACGGACCTCAAGCAGTAATTTTTTGGATTATGGTTACTCCTTAATCTATATTTTTATCAGGTGTTTCAAAAAGAGGTGTCTTTCTTTGGTATGAAGAACTGACTGAGAGGCAACAACTACCCCTTAGTACCTGCAACAGCACTCGAGTATTGCAGATGTTTATGTTTGAATATAAACCTAAACATTAGTGTAGCAAGTTATAATATAAGTAGGATTTAATTATGTGAAGCATTATATTTCTTCACTCAAGATAGTTATTTTATTCTTAAGTAAACATCAACAAAAGTTGAATCGGGTTTTGTAAATTATGACTTTTGAAAGCAAACATTTACGGAAAATACATCACAGAGTATGTGTGCGAGCAGAGTCCCAATGGAGGAGCTGGAAAATGTAAGCTATTATAGTCCGGTAGAACCAAGATGTTTACGATTGGCTGAGTGTAGCTAGCGTTGTGCTGGTCGATATTTTTAGTGTTGACTAAATTCTACTGTCAAGTATTAGTAATGTGGCCACTGCTCTAAGTGACTCGGTTCATTGTGTCATAATAACTGCCTACAATCATTTAGCACCTCAAAATAGTGCACGAGATGCCAAGCCACTTAGACTAGAGGCTACAATTCAAATTGATCGATAGAATTTGATAAATATTAATGAACTAGACAAAAATGAAACTGGTCACTACTCATTATTCAGTCAATTGTAAATACCTCACTGTACAAGAGGTCAGTGGCAGCCCGAATGGCTCAATGTTATCGCATCGTTCACTTGTGGAAAAACTAAGAAGCTCACTTCTATATGAATTAGGCATCGAAGATCTTGTCTAGAATGACAATAAAAACTCTGTAACTGAGCCATCTAGCTCAGAGGGCTTGATAAAAGCAAAGCCATTCAACTAAGCTGTGAATCTTATCCAAGACAAGTAGACAACTGCAATAATTTAGATTTTATGAGGGACTTATACAGAAACGAACAAAAATATTGACAGCTGGAAGTACAAACCATTTGATTTCACCTAAATGTAGTATTTGTGCTCATTCATTTGACCGAAAAATTTTGAGTTTAATCATGTGGGTGTAGGTATATTGAATGATTCTGGGTTTCGAACCAGAACAAAGCAATCAGTGACAAAAAATGTCGTTTATTGTTTTTGTCAATAACTGATTTTAAGTGCAGAAACTTTAAAAACTAAGGACAAGTGTTTACGTTATGAAACTCGTTATCAGTACGCATTCACAATCCTTCCAGGAATCAAACTCAATAGCTTCATATAATGTTTTCACAAACATTCCAAAACTAATGAATATATCCCGTAAAATAACTGTTAGATTGATGAAAAATGATGAACAACAAATAACATATCATCACCTTCAAATAAAACACAATGACCAGTATACATACACCTACCTGTACGACCAATACCAGCGCTACAGTGTACCAGTAAAGGGGATAGAGAATCGAATTGAGTTGTTTTGTGATTTGACGATCCTGTTGACGTTGATGTTGGTGGTGATACTGACGACGACGATGACGAAGATGACAGTGATGATGAGGATAATGATTTTGATCTTGACTTGTGACTTTGTTTAACAGTGAGTAGAAATTTCAGAAATTCTTCTGAATCCGCTGGAACATCGAAATCCGGCCAACCCAAATATAAATAATGATACACTGTTAACTTATTATCTGATAAAGTATTATTATCATTGGATTCCTGAAATGGAGGGAATGAAAACATAGAGAAAAATAACAATCATAACTATGATGAACATTGAGAAGACATAGAGTGCAAAAAGCATCCGTTTCTGTAGAATCTACAACAACTACTCTCATTCACCTATCAACGACATTTGCAAGTCGAAAATATAAAAGACTTGTCAGGAATATATATATCTGTCTAACTTATCACATTCAAACAATTAGAAGTTGTTCAGTTCAATAATACCCGGTTTTAGGATCTATACATAAGCTACACTTCAATTTGTACTATGTATTCGTAGCATTTAAGATATGTCCAAAAAATCACGGTACCATCGTTCAAATAAGAATTGGATAATTTAACGGTCGTTTGAAGCAGCTCGAAGATCAGCTTCTAAGTATTTTCTATTGATTTATATATTCTGAATAACACAACGGTAATAACAGATGTTAAGTCTATTTGTTTCCTCGTGACCATATTTTTGATAAGATTAAAACGCATACGTTCCTCCTTATTAGGGATTTGTTAGCAAGATGTATACCTGTAATATTAGTGTTGATATGTGTGTGAGGTTGTCTATCCGTTTTCGGATCTTCCATACGTGTACACTATCCAGCATTTTCGGACATTTTCCGTTTATTTAGTGATTGAGTGTTGCATATAAGGCTGTAATTTTGGTTAAAATTAACTATAACCGCATAGATAGAAAACAAAAATACAGCAACACTTAGAGCTTAAAAGGAAATCTCCTGTGAAAAGTACACTCATATATGCAACAGTCATTCACTAAATGAACGAGAAAAGACTAGATGCTGGATACCGCACACTTATTGAACACTGGAAAACTGATGAATAAGCACCTTGTACTGTTGATATCCACACTGAAAGTTGAACCCGGAACCTAGTGTTTTTCAGACAAGCCGATATATTGTCCATCAATTTATCAAGTAACAACTTGTTTGAATATTTTAAAATTACAATTAGAACAACTTAGAGACATAATTTGACGTTATTTAAGTTAGCAGTTTAAAATCAAAGTAGTCATGTATGTGTGTGCGTATAGATGAAACGTTGAATGTATAGTGAAGTACATTAGATTAGACTGAACAATATAGTTTATTATATGAAATAATGAATGGCATAGGTATTTACTACAATTATATCCCCCACAACCATACAAAAACAAACAAGCACACATACGAATACATATGTATAATATACATGTGTATTTGAATTTCATCAGGGCACTAGGTATAATAACAGTAAGGTAGAGGTGAACTTCATGTTTCGAAATAAATATTATAATAATGACTATTATTATTAGTAGTATTATTAATATCAATTTATATACAGGTCGAGTAAAACCAATCATCTTGAAATAAATATAACGAACACGGGATATAAGCGATTATCTGAGTCAAATCAGTCCATGACTGAGAGAACTTACAAACTGGACAATCTCTACAAACTTTCTCATAATGCTATTAATAATCACAATTATTATAATCCTTCATGTTATATCCGGACGAGAATAAATGAATGGTAACCGTTAGGAATTACGCATGGACTAATATTACATGAATATTCTTACTGTATGACTATTAAGTAACTATATATATAGATGAATTCATGAGTCGATTAAAGCTAGACCACCATTGAAAACCTGGGGGCACTGGATGGCCGTTTCTTCCTAGTATGGGACTCTAGCAGTGCGCATCCACGATGCCACACACAGGACTCGAACACAGAACCTCTTAATTAATGATTGAGTTTGTTTAATTATCGGGTCTACAGGATCATATCAATTGAAAGTATGAAGAAGTGTGATATCATTTAATTTATTTAGTGATATTCTGGTTTGGTGAGACGTTGTAATGAAAGCAGAAGTTTTACTCATCCATTAGTCACGACAAGTAGGCAGAAATACAATGCGATGATAGTAGTAGTAGTAGTAGTACTAATATACTGACAGTATATATGAGGACACAATAATTATTTAATTTAGTTAAACAATTCCCATACATTTTTTTCATTTGAAACTACATATTGGATACTGATTTCAGTTAGATGAAAAGGGGAGTTTGATAAATTTATACGATCTCAGATAATTGATAGAAGTACAAGTAGTAATAGTAGTGTTTCGATTCTGATTAATTAGCTTATTTTATCTGTAAATTTCGTAAAGTATATCTATTTGATCAAGCATAAGAACGATTATTGTATGAGATGAATTGTAGGCACTACCTTGAGAGAAAGAGGAAAGGATATTAGAATAATTTACACTGTTATTGTGGTGATTGTATTTAATAGCATGATGAGCTATTATCACTTGGAATGAATTGTTTATTCTTTTCATCTTATATTCATTAAAAATAACTTAGTCTAATTACTTGATTGTTGAAGATTATTTCATCAATAAAGGATGCATAGATAATCTAGTTCTCGTTATTGAAGATTCTGATTAAATGTAAAGCCTTTCGAATGCGCATTGAGGAACTGAAAATGGATAAATATGCGAAATGTACTATTTTTTATATGATCCTCAACTGAAAAATATTTCTTCAGAACTAATCATTGTTGACAAGTTGACAGTGAAACATAAACTATTTGAGCAGGTCGACTAACATTATATATTTTAATATTCTTATCATCCTTGGTAACTTGATGTCTAAAAAAATCTCATGTGAATATAAGAAGCCAATTTAACCAATGCCATTTAAAGTAGAGATAACATATTCATTTATTTATCTATCAACAAGCGAGCAGAGATTCGCTTTTCTATTACTTAACGGCTATAAAACATGCTCAGTAGAGCACATTGTGAGTATTCGGTCTTAAAAGTTTTTAAAACATTGTTAACATACGATAGAAACCGTCAAGTGAGTAGGATTCTTGTGCTAAACAGAGTTTTTAGTAAAAGTTAAAAACCGATTGATGATGAAGATAATTTAGTTTATCCGCTATACATGTCCAGGACACTATCTAACAAGGTGTAAAATGTTGGTTGGTAAAATATAAGATTGAAATAGAAGTAGGCGTATTTTATTGAGATCATGTACCGATTTAAACAAGGGAACTATATAAAACCTAGAAGTACAGGCACACCTGTTTTATCCTAGTTTGGGACTGAGAAATAATTAGTAATCTAAGTAATGAGGTTATTGTCTATTGCCTTAAATCATTTACGAGTTCACCAAAGCTGTTTTTGAAATTCACAAGATTATCGTAATCAATAGAAAGAGTCGATCTATTACCATCCCTTTGGCAAAACTAATCTACCTGCAGATGCAGAAGATTAAAGTACAAAATCATTTAACTCAGATTATATCATGATATATCTGCTAGTGCGTTTTTCTGAGTAAATTAAATAGAAAGTCAGTTAGTCATCAGTTATCATCAACGCAGAGAGTGGCACAAATATACATTGGCCCAGGATACCAGATCATATGAGGTCGATGCGATCGAATTAATAAAATGAACAGAGGAGTAGAAAAAACCTAGTCGTAATGATAATGAAGAAAAGTAAACAATCAGAATATGATCTCAGAAGAAAAAATGGTAAAGAGTACTGAGATTTAAGATTGGGAGGAAGGTAATGACTGAATGTATCGGAGCGATTTTGAACATCTTAAAAGCATACTACACAAGTCGCAGACCACTAATCATGGTTATCTTATCAGGTAGTATGTATCCACCAGTTTCTACCAATAAATTCATAGTGATGCCATGTCTTGTTTTGGCCCCACCTAGATTTCTCACAATCTAATTACTTCTAAACCAGCGGACATATCGCGTTGAGGTAGGCGGCGGTTAGGTATACGTAAAATAAGTCTTAATCACTTTGGTCGACGGGGAATCACACTATCGTCAATAGATTTGTCACATTTCCATAATCTCAGCATTGTTCATTGGGTTGTTTTATAATACTTCAAAGACTCGTATGATCAAGCAGTTACAGGCTGTGTAATGTTAGAACGAACTCACAAAGCACATTATTTAATGCACTTACTACCTGCACGACAGTTGATTGTTCTAGAAACATACATCAGAAATCATATATCTATTGGAAACCACATTCTCAAACATATCTAAAGTGAACGAAAGATGGAAGATGTTGTTCAAATTTAGGCACTAGACAGAAGTTCCTTTGAATTTTGGATTCATACTAGTTGATACTAAATAGAAATCCGTATTCCATCCAAAAAGCTTAAATTTGGTTAGCCAGTCTCAGATGTGAACTCCAAGCTATTCATTTAGTAACACTACTACTAAATGATCAGTCAATGTGTAAAGGTGTAAAATAACTTCACAGTTCTGCTAAAACGATTAATATATATATATATATATATATATATATATATATATATATATATATATATATATATATAACGTAAATGACAAAACTCATGTAATATTTACCTTGAGAGAATTCTGAACATTCATTTTAGATTTTTGTCGACTGCGTTCTAATCTACTAACACCAATATGAGTAGTAGAATTATGTACATCATTTACTGAAGATTTACATGTCACTTCTAAAACACTTCGTTTGTATAAACCACCAGCTTCAATAGATTCACCACAATTAGTCACTTGAAATTCTCCATAACTAGCACTGATTGTTGGGGTGATCTTTGCATCCACTGGGTGAACACTACTACGGGGAATAGATTGATCTTTTGACATGGAGGAAGAAGTATTTCTTGTTGGCCAATATAATGCACATTTAGGACGTTGACCTTCAACAACTCTAAATAATATTTTTTATAGTCGGAGCAAATCATTAACACAATGAGTTCTTTTCTTATTCAAAATGCATAAACAAAATCTATGCGTGATGGAACATAATACAATATACAGATAATAATCGAGAGAAAAAGGATTTTCACATCACTCTAGAGGGTTAATTTAAAATCTTGCATAACCCATTGTTTGTCATGATATTCAGTAATTCATGAGAACGGTTGAGCGTTGAAATTCCTCGATAAATTTATGAGAAACCAGAAAAAGACTGAGAACATTTCGTCTAAACACAATCTAATGGAAAAATTCTCGGAAACTTCCAGAGAAGCGATGGATTGTGCAAAGCACTCTGTACGGTGATTGCCTATTCTATTTCTAACTTTGGAATATTCCCAGACGTTTCTGAAAAGTCAAAGTGACCCGCTAACCTATAGATATCCATATTCATGAACATAAACTAACTGTAAAGTAAAGCATCTATTCTTAAATTGAACCCTTCTCACTACAATCTGTGGCTGAAATGCAAAATTACAGAGATCGCAGGAGTGTCTATAATGTTACTTACAAGTGTTCTAGCACAAGATGAAACACGAAGACACTTCACACGATCGATATATTTTATGTCTTGTCTATTCATACACGAAAAGAGATGTGATTCGCATGGAATTGGTGCATAGCGAAACGCAATGCAAATGTGTTTTGTGAAATCGTCTTAAATGCTCATCGTGTGTGGAGCGATTGTTCATGTTTCTAGAGCGTTTGATTTTCAGCCTTTAAGTCATAGATTTAAACTTAAGTTTGAGGGATTATTAGTACTTACATTTAGCATGTAACTCGAAACCCTGTACATTAATCTATACCTGGTAAGCGAGTTGAGATTAGTTTATTCATCATAAGATGGTAACACTATATTTTAGTGCATATACTTCCTGCTTTTTTCGTTTACTGGAAAAATTTGTTCATTGGTATTACCTGCAATTCAACACGCCAGTATAAGTGATTGAAATGTTAGAATCGCTCAGGGTCGTTCAAAAGGCATAGTATCTCCGCTTAAGTCAGATATGAAAAAAAACAATTGATAATAAGAATAATTAATTAATCAATAGATATACTAACTTGGTAAGCATTATAATAGTGATGACTTTATGCTCCCAAACAGTCATCCAAAATTCACGTATTGTATTCTCTAATGGACCTTGATTAAAAATGAGACAAGTGCAGTGACAGTGATGAAATCTTTGTGTATTAACATACACTATTTATAAAGACGATATAAATAAGGGAATAAACTAACGGGGAAAGGAATTAAAAAAACAGAAGAGTGGTTCCATACAGCATAGAGATTTTTTCGGATCCTTCTGAAAAATATATTACACTAGTGAGATTAACTTGAATAGGAACCAGCGGATTCCGACATTGGTCTAAAGTCAGAGGCGTTAGGAGTGAGTTGACAATCCTAGGTTCAAAACTCAGTCGGGTTGTGGATATGTAATGTAACTATGACAAAATAGTGGTTTAGTGACTTTTGACTTTTAGTGATTGTCTAAAATCAGTTTGTGATGCAGACCATGGAACTTCTGGAATGGTCCTGGAGAAACCTATGTCAGAAAGGGATCGAAATTCCCATAACTGCTACCAATAGACATTAAATAGATAGTAGACATGAAGTAGGCATTTTTAGGGTGTTCACAAATAACTGAAAAACAACGAATGTCACGTTTCACTTCGATGTGCCGAGGCTATTGCCATCATACGTTTTCGATGTATGTGTACAGAAGGGAAGGGTGTTGAACTTCTCTCTCTTTGAGGTCGTGTCAGCCAGTTTTAGTCTGACACATTACAGAAACTAATCTCCGATAAGACGAAGATATTTACATCTAATTGGCCATAAAGTAGTGGCCAGTGACATGTTTGTCTAGTTCTTTAGTACTTATCGAATTCCCTCGATCAATTCAAAATGAGGTCAATAGTCTATTTTCTCATAACTAACCTAAACCATCTTCCGTCTTATTGTTTCATTCTAATTTTATTAACTATGACAGACGTTCGATTATAACCCCATTATTCTTTGCGACATTAGTCTGTTTGCAGCTAATAATAAATTTCAAAATGGGATGAACTAATTTCGTAGTGCAAAACATCACTGATCTTGACTTGTTCAGAAAACCTTAAGTTACTTATGTTGGAAACTAAGGTGTACTTTAGAGATAGATTTCAGAGATATTTTATTATGAAATGATCTGAGTCAGAAAAAATAAGAGACCACCTGACTGTATTTTAATGTAGTTAAAAAATTATATTGTTTATGAAGTAGATGAACGAAGGGAAGTAATTCAAACTAAGTTTTGGGAAAAAATCTAGTATTTTGTGACTTAAAGCGTTGATTCACTATTAATGTCCATTGTCGTAGATATTTCTGTATAAAGATCCACACTACTTATTAGTAGTTGTATTTAAATAGAATAAATGCCGAAGGATGGTTTCATATTAGATTACGAACTTTTGTATATAAGCAATTATGCTTGAAATAAATAGCTTCACGATCTTTTTGATGAGGATATTACCATTTAGATACTTCAAGTTAACAGTGAAGATGTAATACATTTGTACTAGAATAGCACAGATACTTTAGTAGTTCACTTGTCGACTATATTTCTCGTATGTCGTCAGGGAGATATATCATCAATGGTGTTAAAAGATAGTCACGTTACACCATGTTGGATAACTGGTGTAGGGTAGTGATAAGTCCAGAATGTTGAGTTTGGAACTACAATTAAAAAGTTATTTGAAGTTAACCGGCCTTTAATCAATCTTTAGTCGAAATCAGTTGCCCTTGATTTAAACTATCTTCAGACTGTGTGACAAGAAGGAAAAAATGATTAACATGTTTTGTTGTTTTTTATGTATATTCAATCAATTCACACATATTTTGATTACTACTACTAATACTATTCTAGAAACGAAAAAAATACACACCTGTATTTGTAAAACGAATAAACAGAGACAAGGAAACCTGACAGATGAATTATTTTAATTCGATAGTGAAGTGGTATTATCACAACCAGATGTCTGGATAATGATTTGATGTTTTTCAATAACTAATAAGAATTTATTTGAATACAGATGATAAGCGATGTGTTAGTACATAGATTCTAAATAAATTTCTGAAGTCATATTAATTACTGAGTAGTAACTAATTTTATAAAATCCCAATACTTGGGGATATTTGGATTTTACTGATAGCATCCAAACAACTAACATTGAAACACAGTATACGTGCTGTTGGATTACATAGACTAGATGAATATGACACTGGTTGTTACGTCATGATCAAGTAGTGAAAGAATTTCGGTCATACCAACGGTCAGTTGCCGTTTAAATAGTTCAATGGTTATGTCTCTGACTGAAACTGGATGATAAGGATTCGAATTCAACAGAGGACAACAGTTCCTTAATGATCATAAGCACGAAAATCAAGTCCCGATTTTCGTGTCCACGTATCCCGACTGCTCTGTATTCAATTACCCAATGTTGCAGCCCAACTTATCTTGATATACCTAATATCTATCTACATATCTGTTTAATACAAACAGGTTCATAATGAGTAATACAAATAATGTGTACAGAATAATTGAGTACAACGTACTGCGTTTAAAAATTAAAACAATGCATCAAGTAATGAAGTCATTGAGTTCTTATGTGAACCATGTCAGTAGATGTAGACTTCCTTGTTAAGGTCCTTGTAATAGTCATGATTTATCTGCTCGATACTCTGAGTGACATACAGCGAAATCGATCATAGTAGCTAACATTTTGTACCGGTGTGCGGTGTAATAATCTGGTTTGGTGAGCACTGGTATCAGGCTTAACGTTGACTATGACTAACTGACTGACTCAAGAATAATAATAGCACGAGATGAAATAAATGATTACAAATTCTGTTATTTATCTACAGTCATCATATTGATAGCTTGATAAGAATGGAATGAAACATAAATGTCAAATTGGTTACCTAACCAGAAACAATAGACAAATAACTTTCTGATATTGTTTAATTTTAAATTTGATAATTGTGGTAAACTATATAATTTCAGTATCTTGGTTCATTAAAAAAACGTAAAAATAAAAATACAATATCATCAGTAGTGTTAGGCCTAGTGGATTATAAATGATTAAGACATTGATTTTCTGCCTTGTTCAATGATTTTTTACATATTGTTTATGTATTTAATGTATATATCGGGTACAGATTTGTGCATTTAGCTTCGAATTACAGTTTAAGTATTCAGGCTATTGATGTTACCGGGTTTCTCGAACCGATGTAGGTCGATCGGGATTTGAACTCGTGGCTTAATTGGTGACAGTCAGATGTCTTAATCGCTAAGCCACTACTCTACTCCATTGTGTGATCTTTTGATTTCCAATGGGTTTTTTTCTTATTTATGTTAGTCAGTTTATAATCTAGACATTATGTAATAGTGTACAGTGATAGCAATAGACAGATAAACAGGAATTATTCAGAGGACAATAGTGGAAGGAATTGTTTTGATTCTTCCTATTCTCATTTATAACTCTTAACACTAACTAGGATGATAGTTGTTCAATTTCATTAATGGTGTTTGTAATATCAAGTATTCTTATGTTAACATAAGCATAAACGTGACTACAGATAGATGTTGTTGATAAATTAACATTCATAAAAGTGATAGAACGAATGATACAAACATTGAAAATCGTGGAAGAAATGATGAAAGATAGCAGTTAGTTTAGTCAATTAGTGATTATGACATATGGTTTATTCAATAAATAGGTGGAGTAAAGTTTTATAATCTTTAAAACGTCCATCATTTTTCATAATGCACATATCACACCACTGTCTTCATTGTTAAACACATCCTCAGAAGTGCACAAATGTGTGATCTATCAATTTTTGTGTCAGTCTATGAGTAATAATTTGAACTGAATCGGTAATTAGAAAGCATAAAATAATGCACAAATCCGACGTTCTTATCAGCACAGGAAGTCAATAGTTATCTTGAATTCGGATCATCGTTGATATCCTTATGGTGAAGCGTTTGAAATACATGAAAAGAGCTATTTTCTTCCGTGTGTAACTTTTAAGGACAGATGTCTACACTACACGAATTATTTGAGATGATTCCTAGTTCCCATGATGAAGTATTGGTGGATATCTATTCATTTATTTATTTGAACGCATAAATGTTAGTACAAAGGGGCACCGAATACATATGCGCCACACAATTCACTTGATTTGTGTGTGAGCTGTGATACTGTCTGGGTGCCCAGACTGAAGCAGGTGGTTTTCCTAGGGTAACACGCCCGGAGCCTTCGACTTAAAAGGTCTGATCAACAAGACAGTTGGGCAACGTCAAGAGATGCAGTCCCATGGTAGCCGATGGCCAGTAGGTTCATAGGCCATTTGTTCTTTCAGGATACTGGAGCTCATGTGCACTATTGGTTTGGGATCAGGGTTTTCTAACTCCGCTAGGTGGACCCTCTGTGTACATCAACCCGATTAGAGCGCCAGACATTCACTTTTCGTTCTCTCAATTTCGTACATAACACCCCCCTGCAAGAAGGCAGTGATTAGAGTGGCTGTATATGCGTTGCCATGTGAGAGCACTTCGAGAGGAAGAGATGTCTCTCCCTACCCTCGACCGTCTTTAGGGGCTAGTCAAAAATTATTTGCACAGAATACATACTTTTTATAAATGATAATATATACACAAGTATGGTTGAAAACTTTGTAGCAGCCTCATATTGTATTATTCACTTTGAACATAGGAAGTACACGCTGCTCAAACCCCCATTCGTACTATAAATTGACATTACGTGTCAATGCCTGAACTGGTATAACGCCAAATAATCAGATATCGATCACGTAAGTCATTTTGATATTGTTGAATAGTTTTTTTATTAATTCACATGATTAATTGTGAGTAACTAACCACGTAAATTTACACACGTATGAGATATTAGTTTGCTTAAGTTTACACCTAGATAGACCATACATATATTCAGTAAATAATTCATACAAAGATTATCAAATCTATCTACGCAGAAGACACTTTAACCGACACGCTTTATGCACACTATGGACCCTACATGTCTAGTTTGTTAATTAGTATTTCCGAAATATATCCATTCCAAAAATAGTTCGTATCACACTATCTAATATTGTATTGTAAAGCGAATTTGATTGCACAAGAAGTTTAGTATAGAAAATATACAAAACTAACTTCGTTCTGGAATAAGTGAAGTTAGATTCTGTTACTCAAACGTATAGACGTGAAACGTGGTAATTCGGATCAACATCCATTTATGCGACGGTTTAAATTACTTATGACCAAATGACATAATTTTTTTAATGATACAGTGTATATCATATGTACGATTGGAGGTGCATCCACATTTAAATAAAAGGCAAAGACCGAGAAGTAATTTAAACGCAACGGTAACAACATATTTAGCTGAAGTATAGAATAATTTGAGTTACAGTGTATAAAAAGGAAGTGAAAAAGGCCTCATTGAATTGTTCCAATGTTAAATTATTAGACGGAGATCATATTGAAAAACTTGACAAATAAAATTTGTTAAGGAGTCCCAAAATACTCCTCGGAAAACTCAATAGGTGCACAGAAAACAGTGTTGAAGAGTTTCTTCGAAACATCTAGAAGGATGATAGAACACGTGCCAAATATTTGATTGCATAATGTTCTTTACTGTTATATTTAATATGCTCCTAGATGATCAGGACCACGTTCATTGCTCTAAATATGCACGTCTTTTTGTACATACCTTAACGTCGGAGTAATACGTTCTTCTACACCTTACTACGTAGATTTAGTTTGGTGTTATAAGAAGCGTCTAGGAAATCGGGTCAAGCGTTGAATTAGCTGACTTAACAAAATTCAAGTAGGAATAGAAAGATTGAATAGTGTTTTTTTATCAGTGTTATTATTGAGCTCTGGTTTGGTGGGATTGTTACAATTTTCTGTCTTAAAAAGAAACGTAACAATGTCAGCTTGTACGGCTTAAGAAAAACTTTCTTTGTCGCAGCGCTGAACATGTTTTGAATTAAATTTTCCAGTTGATAAGAAGCACTGACCAATTACAATGTTTTACTATCACTATCACCACGTTCTCTTAATTTAAACAAACAAGAGCGCGAAATCAAACAACATACCTTAAATTTTAAAGGAAGAATGATAGAAACAGAACAGTTTTCACTGACCTTGACCTATACTTGTATTGGCCTAAGTTACTAAGCGATCTAATTTACAATTTACTTTAGGGTGTATAGATGTATGTGGTATAATTTCAGTATTGACTACTAACTTGTTTTAATTTTATCCATGGTGAATTCTGATCAAAATTCAATCCAACATTAACGATCTACCATTAATTAGACAGACAAGATTTAAGTACTATTGTTTCTTCAAGAAAAAAGTTAATTATATAACTAAACCAAAAAAGGAGTTACTAAAAATAAGTATGAAGTATGGACGTATATATGCACAAATTGTGAGAATTAGATTGAATTTCCAGAGTAAAGTTCAGAGAAGGATACGACACTCTTCTGAGTAAAGGTCAAGACTTAGGACGAAATAACTGTAAAATACGGTAAGTCTTCGAATTGAACGATAGATTCGGTTCCTAAGCTATTCTAGTAACCCCCAGGCTAGATCTACACGACTTGAACCCGAGAGACAAGTTGTGAAATATGGAAGAAAACGCTATACTCCAGAGGTTGGTTTATGTACAGGGTCTTTATAGTATTTTAGATGACCTTGGGTTTCCCGAAAATTCTGCAATGCTACTAAACATAGTAGCAGCATAAACAATCATCCAATCAGAAACTCGACATGTGACTTTTCACTTTCTAGATGTTTCTGGCAAAACTTCTAGTGAACGCTGATTAGATAAGATGCCTTTCAGTATTTTCAGATCTTTTCTTGGCTTTTTTTCGAGGAGTTTTCTGGATCTCCCCAACACAATACGAACTGATTTTTCGTGTTACTCTACACCATCCTTACAAATATTATTGAATTCATGGTGAAAACCATCAACCTATAAGACGTATAGTGGTTGTGTTCGTTTTCCTGTACTTAGTAGTGTAATAAGTGAGATTGTATTCTAGTCGATTTTTTTTAGAAAACCTTATTTAACTGATCATCGAGTAATAAGAAAAAACGTATTTGTCTAGTGTTTAGCTCTGGTTGAATTTTACTAAAAAGTCCCTTCAAGATTTCAGACATATCTTACTGATGATCGATTACCAAATGGAGCAGAAATTAGATTCGAAGATTTCGGACTAATTTCAATCAACTAAATCTGTATAGTTAACAAACTTAAATTCATGACTGTTTAACATTTGTATCTGACCAATTCGAAAAACTAGATTGATTCTAATGAAAGAAATTATCGATAAAAAGTGGGAATGTCTAAATCTATATTCATATTAAGTGTCTTGAGTGGAATAATGATTTCCATACTGTCCTTATGATGAAAGTATTATTAGTATCGTTTACATTCAAGAATTGATATTCTTCTTTTCGTATAAACCATTTGAAATTACACTCCTCGGATTGTTTTACACTATTGTGACAATTTCTATACCTCAAAATACTTTCACTTCTACAGAAACAATTGTATAACCTATAATTTTGAAAATCTGACACCGACCACACACACACACACAGAGGATGAAGGCTGATACTTTCAACTATCACCTAGTACATTAGTACATACATGAGTCAGAATCCAATGAACCGGTCTTGATTAAAAATCAGTTGATATGCAAGCTAACATCATTGGTAAGTGATAATTTGCATCACTTTTACCTTGATTGAACTATGAAACACCATTATAAGGTTAGACAATAAATGAATACACAATTGTTATTTTCTCAGTTTTAGGTATTAATAAATCATTTAGTATGTCATAAAGTCATTTTATAATTAAAAAGTAAATTTCACCACAAACTAACTAGCATTAATTCAACCAAATATATGTATAGCACAATTCACTTTTCAATCAACGGATCTTTAATTCAGAATGTAAATTTTCACTGAATATTGTCTTCAAATAACACTCTTTATAATAAAATTTTCAAATAATTTAGAAAGAAATAATCTAAAATGAACCAATCTGAACAATTATGAAGTTGATGTTCACTCTGGGACTCGAGCCCAATGCCATTCGATTCAAACGCCATCGAGTTAAACACTCAGCTACTGAATCCTGATAGCCACTTGCTTGTGCAATGGGGTGAGTTTAAATTCACTTGATAATGTTTTTCTTGAATCTTCCCATTGAGGTTTATGACTGGTGATTGGAGCGAATGGTACTAGGTTCGAGTCGCAGATGGAAAATCAACTCTGAGATGCAGGTACATCCAGCTGACGAGTCCCAAATAGGACGAAACGCACATGCTGGATTCCACTGCTAGCCACTATCCATCCTTGATGGTAGTTACTGTTTATCGCTTATAAATTTAAATAATAAAAACAGAAAAAAAATTACCTTGAGCTAATATATATGCACGTGGACATCGATAACCATCAACCCAATTTGCATGTATATAAGTATTGTCTGATAGTTCCACAGCAGTTGAATCTAAACAAGGAACATCTAGATAACGGTTACGACGTTTATTTGATGTTTGACTATATACATAAACATAAATAAAAATGAAAAAAAAAGGTCATAATGGATAATACCTAAATAAATAAAAAATAAATCTAACATTTTGATATAAATGTACTTATTTATCGACGATGTGATAGTGGTAGACTCGTTTTTTTGTGAAATCATTAACAAGAAAATTAAACATGAAGATATTAGGATTTTAGAAAAACGACGAGAAAAAGGAACAGATCTTCGTTAATTTCTTTATATTTATGATAATGATCGACCAGGAATTAAGTTTGATAATAAAGCTATTTAAAAAAAATTACAGATTGAATTATCTAACTAGTTTTTATATGCTTTAATAGTTTATCCGTTAGATGACTTTTAATTATTTCTTTTATTTAATGCCTTGTATATGAGCATTTTGTTTTGTTAGAAGAAAAACTTATTGACCTAAGACAATCCCCAATCCAACTGAATTGATATGAGAAGACAAAACCACCAGTCTGAAGGATAATTTGGTCCCATGAGCAACCATCATTTGGCCATACATCATATCACTGCATATCATCAATTAGTTAAGCAAGAATCTTTTTATTACAAATCACAAAGGGTTAATTCATAACCAATTAGACGGTGACAGTTGTTTCAAACAAACATATTATTGGATGATGAGAAATTGAATATTTTACATTGAATATGAAGAACAGATGTTAAGTTGATGAAAGTTAACCATTAGAAGCCATTGTCTATAACATCAGCTACTTTTTTTTCAAAATAAGTATTTTTAGAAGTTAATTCCATCAAACTGTTGATAAAAAAAGAAACAGATCAGTCCTCTTACTTCTTATTCACTAACACAAGTGGAAGACATGAGATGTTCTAATTGCGTGACCATAGATATTTTCAAAGAATTGTTTGAATATGATGAAACAATTATTAAAGAACAACAGGGAGGTTGAGTGTAGGGGGTTTGATTGAAAAGGCTGTAAGCCTTCATCGACCGAGTTTATTACACAAATTTAGCCATATCCTACATATTGGTTAGGGTCAGGGATAACTGAGGAGATGTAGGCAGTTATAGAAGTTGGACGTCTGTGAAAATACTGTAAATGTAACCGTTCTATTACATATTTTTATTTCGTTATATTTTACTCCTTAGTAATAATCTTTTTCCCTACTCCTGATAAGTCTGGTACTTGAACACTTTACTACCACTTCCTAGTTACCCAGATAACTCATACACTTGAGCTCTAAACAGGAGACAAATGAAGGGATATATAGAAAAAATCTAATACCATAGGTAGTTTAAGCACAGAACAAAAAAGCTATTTCTAGGTTTAAAGGTGACAATGATATTCCAGAAGCCTTCTAAAATTAGTACCAAAGATAACTAATTATCCAAACAGATCATAAGGCAGAATTTAAAATCTTTCTAGAACCCTCCGAGATATTTCTACTAAATGGTAATTGAAAAGAAATATTTCCAGCTTTTTCACTTTTTCTAACTACAATAATTAAGGCATGATTGAGTGCATATAGTATTTCTTATTATGCTTTTTTTTAAAACCATTGACATTATTCTATTACAACCTTTCCGAATTTTATTTTATTAATATAAATTCTGCGAGTATTTATAATTGGCTAACTGGCTAATTAAACTTTTTGAAAAAAAAAGATAAATTTCTGAAATTATATGGAATAGGAACACTAAGTGCTTACAATTTTTGATAAATATAGGTATGAAATCCTATAATTTTATTGTTAGCTTTCAATATTTCGATACAATCGAACAAAGTCAGTCAGCTGCAACGTAGGACCAGACACATATATGCATCGGTGAAAGTTGCCATACAGCATTAGCACAACAAGATGAACACCGGGTTCATAGAAGTAGTCACATCAAAGGTAGTAGTACATAAAAGAAAGATTGCATATAAGGAGATAGTACATGAAGAAAGAATTAGTTCGTAGAAAGAAAGATATGAAGCGATTTTGATCTCATAGTTTAAGGGAAGATAGAGAGTGCATACATCTACGCCATTGTGATCGATTCTGAGCCATGTCACCAAGAGTCTCCAACCATTGGTTACGATGATCACGCGGAGCCCAGCCAGGCAGTCTGCATCTACCAACATAGCTCAGACCAGAAGTTAGTGACTTCAAGCACTGATGCCAAGTTTTGGTTTGGCCGTCCCTAACTTTCTTCCAATTATCCCTAACACCGGTTAGCATTGCGCGTCGTGGTAATCGGTGTTCAGGCATACGCAACACGTCGCCCAACCGTCGAACAAAGTAATCTGTTCTAACAACATGATTATCAAATCGAAGTATCGATGAAACATAAAGACATCAATGAAAGATGAATAAGTTGTGTGTATAATTTCTTCTTTAAGATGATGTTAAGGTTTATACACCAATTATTAATAACCAACATTATGTTGTTTAGTGTATTGTGTGGATTGAATTCTTCTAATCAATTTGATCAAAATTAACCTCTCCCTTACTGTGATATACAAGTCACGAAAATCACACAGAAAACATTAATTCCTTTAGCATTACAGATAGACTGTATTGATAAGTGCCAATATTAGAATAAAAACATTTGTGGTGCATGATTTCCTATTGATTACTTTTCTAATCACCTTGTATTATAAGTCAATAGTATGTGATATAACATTACAAATACTAATACTACTGCTATAATCGTACATGACATCTACATTTCTGTTTCGTACGTTCAATTTGGAAATATTAAGCATATAGTGAAGTCATTTGCAGTGGATAAGTGTTGCGCAGTTAAAGTTTACTTAATTTAAGGATTCAGATTTTATTGATTGGAGTCAAGTTGAAAATTTATTTCGTTGTTATTCGGTTAAAGTAGTCAAATTTGTGCAATTTTACACTAAGATGTTGGTATTTTACTACTTATATCTTTGTAGTAAAATACCTGCATCGGTTTGGGCACCCGGGCAGTATCACAGCCCTCACACAAATCAAATGAGATTTGTATGGCGCATATGTATCTGGTGCCCTCTTGTATCAATATCTATATGTTCAAGTAAATAAATAAACTACTGCTACAACAACAACAAAACCAATAATAACAACAACAACTACTACTACTATTAATAATAATAATAATAATAATAATAATAATAATAATAATAGTTAATCCAACTGTCTTATCGGTTGATTGAATATAAACAAAATATATTTGATAATAATTTAGACCAAAATTTAATGAACTGTAAGACATTAGAAAATGGACAAATAGATAATATGTGATTTTTAGATAAATAATAAAAAGGAGAAAAACATACGAGTATTTTTATGTCACCTAAATTCAAATTATCAAGGTGAAACGCTTTCCTTTTTTTACTATTTCCAGAATATTTATCTAATTCACTCATATGTTTGTATGTTTAAGTTGAATAATGGAATTCTTCAGATAAATACCAAACATATTACGGTTATTACTAATGATTAATGTATAATGGTAAAGTGATACGATTGAAAACAAATAATAATAAACATTGATATTGTTATTTGTAATGATGTGTTTTTTCACGCTGAATTTGATCAATCTCTATTGGAGTAGATGGTATTAAGTTTAGTGTAAATGCCAATAATAGAATGGAAGTACATCCACAGATAATAAATATCCACATCAAAATTTAAAAAAAGTTTGAATGAAACCATCATGTTTTGGATGCAACTAACATTAGTCCATTATACAGAAATATATCAAGATCGATGTATTAATTACTAAGGTGATTTTTTAAAGAATTTTATAGAATTTACAGATACTTTTCATCGTAGATTAAACTTAAATGAATATTTATTTATTTAAACACATAAACATTGGTACAAGAAGGCACTAAATATACATATATGTGCCACACAAATCATTCTATTTGTATGAGGGCTGGAATACTGTCCGGATGGCCAAACTGAAGGTGGTTTTCTTAGGGGGCCACACAACAAGTCTTTGACCTAGAGTTCTAATTCACAAGGCAGTGGAGCAACGTCAGGAGATGCAGGCCCATGGTAGCCGGTGACCAACAGTAGGTTCATACGCCATTTATTCCCTCAGGATATTGAAGCCCATGTGCACCATTAGTTTGGAATCGGAGTTTTCAAACTCCCCTAGGTGGACCCTCTCTGTACACCAACCCAGTTGAAGCGCCGGATATTCGCTTTTCGTCCTCTCAATTTCGTATATAGCACAGCTGTTGAGAGAAGACAGTGAGTAGGACTTCCCTGGAAGTGGTTGCATACGCGTGGCCATGTGAGAGCATTTTGAAATGGAGTGGACTCGCCTTACCAGTGACCGTACCAGGGCAAAAATGAAGTAGTCTGGTTTCAAATCCATGAGCAGTGTGTACTGCAAAGATCAAATCAATAGGGGTGAAAGGATTAGAAATAAATCGTGCATTAATCATCTTTTGTTAATGTTTTTTTTTCTTTTTTCCTTTATATCTGGTTCAAATTGTATATATTCACTATCGACTGTAAAATATTGCGACAATGAAATGTGAACAAATAACTGTTGTATGTTATCTCCAATTGTGTTTACCAGTTTACATAAACTGACCAAAGTAAATACATTGGAACAATAGAAAAAAAAACAGTTAAGTATCTGCATCTCTAAGCACATTCCACGACATTTAACGCTAGAAAAATAAAACATTTCCAGTAATGTGATTGTTCACTATTTGTTTGAAATGTGGACATCTCATGTTTAAATTTATAAATTATTCAAACTAGTCAATAAACAAAATGACCTTGTATTAGTTACGCTCTATTGAACTTGTAGCAATAAAACTAATTAAGCTGAACTTATATATCCAAACAAAAAAACACCGTTATTCATTTAATTTTGTCTTGATAACTTCAGTTTCAAAAGATGGTTACGTTACATTTTCTGATACAAAGTATGTACACGTTTTTTTTAATGATTGAATAATATTTTTTCTACGTTGTCATTCTACTAACGATCGAAGAAATCAGGATGACCATTAGACAAATCAACGGTGGAAAAGCAGCAGAACATGGCAACATATCATCTGAAGCACTGAAGTCAGACATACAAGCAATAGTAAATATGCTCCACATTCTATTCAGGAAGGATTTGGGAGGGAGAACAAGTGCCACAGACAGACTAGAAAGAAGCATATCTCATCAAAACTCCAAAAAAGGAAATCCGTGCAAATGTGAGAACTACAGAGGCATCACAACACTACTATCGGTATCAGGGAAAGTTTTCAACAGAGTGTTGCTGAAGCGGATGAAAGATTCAGTAGACGCCCAACTTCGAAATCAACAGGCTGAATTCTGTAAGGATCGGTCGTGCACAGACCAAATCGCAACACTACGGATCATCGTTGAACAATCAGTTGAATGGAATTCGTCACTATACATCAACTTCATTAACTATGACAAGACGTTTGACAGTGTGAATGGGAGAACATTATGGAAAATTCTTCGACACTATGGTATATCTGAGATCATAGTTAACACCATCCGAAATTCATACGACGGACTACACTGCAAAGTGGTGCACGGAGGACAGTTGTGAGATGCATTTCAAGTGACGACCGGAGTCAGACAAGGCTGCATTCTCTCCCACTTTCTTTTTCTTCTAGTGACTGACTGGATTATGAAGACCGCCACATCTAACAGGAACCATGGAATACAATGGACAGCTTGCATGCAACTAAACGAGTTGAACTGGCCCTTCCATCCCATACACGCCAACGAATGCAGATCAAGACAACCAGTGTAGCAGAAGACTCTGCATCAGTAGGCCTCAACATACACAAGGGGAAAAGCAGAATCCTAAAATACAATACGAAGAACACCAACCCAATCACACTTGGTGGAAACTTTCACGTACCTGCTCAGCATCATCTATACAGACGTAAACGTAAGTGTTGGCAAAGTAAGGACAGCATTTCTACAGTTAGAAAACATATGGAACTCAAAACAACTGTTTGTCAACCAATATCAAAATCAGAATCTTCAGTATAAACGTGAAGACAGTTCTACTGTATGGAGCTGAGACTTGGAGAACTACCAAAACCATCATCGAAAGTGTACAAGTAATTATAAAAATTGTCTACACAAGATATTCAATATCCGTTGTCCGGATACCATCAGTAACATCCTACTGTGAGAGAGAGAGCAAACCAATTTCCAGCTGAAGAGGAAATTAGGGAAAAATGTTGGAAGTGAATAGGACATACATTGGGGAAATAATCAAACTGAATTACGAGGCAAGTGCTAATTTGGAATCCTGAAGTGAAACAGAAAAAAGGAAGGCAAGAAAAGGTTGAATAGAAACTGGAAAGAACTGGAAAAGGTTTCCCAATACAGAGTTCGATGGAGGATGCTGGTGAGTGGCCTATACTCCTCAATAAGAGGCCACAGGCGTATGGAATGTCGTGAAAAACTAGCGAGAACTCATGAATTATACTATCACCATTCTTATTTTTGCCTCATCCAAATATATAAATGCGAAAAAAATTGTAGAAAAATTATACCGTAAAATTTCTTGCATAAATACAACTTTGTACCACTAATTACTGTTTGTTGTAATATTATGTTAATCAATTAGTTCTCTATTCATCAATAATTTGTTCAACACTTCATTAGTTTAAAACTAACTTCTATAAAGAATGATCTAACTAATTGTTAACACTCACATAATGATCTGCTTACAATTTGGCACACACGTGACTTAACATTAAGCCTGAGAATTTTTTTATTGGAAATTACTTTTAAAACCATGCATAACTGATCGCATTGGAAGTGTTTCAAAGTTTTCTCTTTGAGATATATATAATTAGTACAAATTTGTTTTTCTCATTTGGTTTCATTCAGATCATCAAAACCTTTAGGTCACATGATGAGCGCAAAAAAAAGCGTAAATTACCCAAATGGAATAAGTATTTTGTATCACCTTGATTCACTATATATCTAACGTTAATTTCTGATGTAAACAATCAACAGAAAGACAGAAAAAAGAACAAAAAGAAACAGAACAGTTGATGAATTGAACTGTCTTTCCCTCTTGAACTAACATATACAATCAAGAGAAAAACATACGATATTACGCTGATAAAACATGAAAGTGAAAGTCTCGGGTTTGACCCCATGTAAATTAGTGTATACACACTGAGAAATGTCAAAGTAAAACAATGTTCCTGGTTGAAATCCAAATATCTTTCCCACTAAATCATGTATAGATCCAACTAGTGACTAAGGGGAATGTGAAACAGCTTGATGAAAAGAAAAAGCACATAAATAGTACTGTAAAACCGAAGGCCCAGAGCGATCAATCAAAATAAGACTGATGTGCAAATTTAAAGCGCTGTTCCAGATAGCTTATTACTAAAACTCATGATTCTCACCATAACTGGTAGTTTGAAAGGATTGGGTGATATTTTCCTTGTGGAATGAACTGTTATGGTCAGTTTGTTTGGATTATGAGTGTTATGGTTACGAGTTTAAGGGTTAGGATCAACAGTTAAGACGTTCTAGGGTTAGGAACCGGGGTTAAGGTTAGAATTATTGGTGTTGATGACCAGTGTTAAGAAGTATAAAGGTCAGGAGCCAAAGTCTATAGGTTTAATAGTTAGGAGATAGGGTTAGGACGTTTTAGGGTAAAGAGCTGGGCTTTAGGGGTTTCAAGGTCAGGAGGTAGGTTTTTTTAAGATGCAGAGCTAAGAATCAGGATCAACCCTGATTACAGAACCATGATATTCTACCTGAATTATTGACATTTAGCATTAATAAGTTCGTTAATGATTTTAAAACTTCTCCTCTGTAGTTCTATCGTTTGTGTCTACATTTTAGAGCTCTTAAATGAAAGCTGCATTATTATTGATTGGATAATCTCAAGGCAACCCATAAATCTGCTGAAGTTCATCGGTATAGTATTGTCTTGTCATTAATACTACAACAATTATTGTTACTACTTCGACAGAAATCTATAACAAAGATAAATCCTTTTTATCGTGCTATTGAGATATCAATGAATAAACGATTTTTCTTTCAAACAATAAACAATTGTAAACAACTTACGCAAAACGCGTACAAGCACCTTTCACAGGACTATCTTTAAATAATGCATCAAATTCTAAAGTTAACCCAATAGAACCAACACTTTGCACTCTAGTGATAAATTCTGATACAGATAAACGTGTTTCCGATAAAGGATTTGTAACATATAATTGATCTTTAGATGAAGATATATGAGTGGAATATATTGAACCATTACTAATACTGCTGATATTATTAGCTAGTGTTGTTATTGTATTAGTTCTGTGTCTAAATGAGTTGGAATGAGAAAGATGACGATCAGATCGATAGAATACACGTCGTTCATTATGAAACATAGATGATATTGATGGTGATGTACAATCTTTATTAGATGTTTCAAACATTGAATCAGTCATACGATTACTAGTTAATACTCCACGACGTGGTAATGGTGATGTTTGTAAACCAACAGTATCCCCTATTAGTCGTGATAATGGTGAAATACTTCCATTTATTGTGTTATAATGTTGTGGTTGTGTTGATCCATGAATCATAGAAGATAATGATGATCTGGATATTGTCGTTATGGCTGATGATGACGAAGATGTTGTGATAGTTGTATGCAAAAAGTCATCTGAACATCGTCGATTTTTCATAGGAACACGTAATGATCCATGAATAGAAGACAGAGAAATATCCTTACTATTAATACTACCATTAGTAATAGCAGTAGTAGTAATTATTTTGTCAGTATTATCATCAACATTTTCATGATTATGATTGTTATTGTATAAATCAAGTTGAACAATTAATTCATTGCCTAATAAAGGATTATGTAATGCTGAATAAATTGAATCAGATGGTCTTAATGATGATAATTGTGACAATTTAAAATAATCAGTTGGCATACGTGAAAAATGACCAGTACGTTTAAAACAATTTAATAACCAATCAAAATGTTGGTTTAATGTTAATTGACCAAATAAACGTTTTAATGTGGAATTTGGCAAATGTACATTTAATTCATCATAACCAACAGAATATATCTAAAAATTAAAATCAAATCAATAAAATTGGATTAGATGATTATATATAATTCATTAGCTAATTAATTAAATACATAATTAATTATCAGAAATATAGAGTCGTGGAGATTGTAGTAATTTTAATAGTTGAATTCATGAGTCTATGTAAGCTAGACCATTACTGAAAACCTAAAAGCATTGGATGGCCTTTTCATCCTAGTATGAGACTCCTCAGTAATGCCGCACCGAAGGGACACGAACCCAGGACCTACTGGAGTTCTAGTAAGAAGCCGTGACCCGTCGAGTTCAACCCGCGTCGGGTGGAGACAGTTATGGATCGATTGAAGTTAGACATTAACACAGTTGGATGCCAGCTCAATGGTATGGAGGTTAAAGCATTAGTGTGCGAGTCCGAAAGTCTCGTAATTGAGTCTCAGGTACGGGGTCGTGGATGCACAATGCTGAGGAGTCCCAAACTATGACGAAACGGCCGTCTAGTGCTTACAGGTTTTCAGTATTGGTCCATCTTATGTCGATTCATAAATTCAACTATCAAAATCAATTAATTAACAAGTGTAGACTTAAAGCAAAATTAGTGTGTAGTATGTAAAGTGCAAATCCTGGATACCTAAACCGAACTAGATGAAGTGATGTACAAACACTTGCGATAAGTCTTCGACACCAACCCATATTAGGCGGGGGCGGGAAAGGGAGAATTTGAACATTTGGAAATTATATGATTCTATAAGGCACCTGTAAATTGATAATAAGCAGTAAGCAGAAGGTAAATATAAAATGAATTAAATTATTTTTCAGCACATTTAGAAGCATGTGAAATAAAGGTCAAATCAAAGCACATCAAACAGGATTTAAGCAAGTGGCATACCCTTGATTGATAGCCAACTATTTTCTAGCTATTAGGATCCACCATTAAATTAACAAAATATGTAAATGTATAACGGAATGAAAGGACTTGATAACATGGGCAAAAGCACTTCAAACAACTCTATATTCTTCTAGAACAAATCTTCAAAATCTAGGTAAGATATAAGATGAAATATAGAAATGTAGAGAAAGCTGATTAGACTATCTCATATTCTGTTGTTGATTATTCTCACCTTAAGTGAAATAGATAACCTGCTGCACACAAGAAAACATCTACAGTCACAAGTTCTAGAGTCCTGGTGTATACTGTTTGGATTATCTTCTCAAGCTATAACTGAACTCTTTACTTTAGTTTATGTACAGAAAAACTAGAGTATTTACAGAGTTACATACGACCTCGGGCTTCCGAAAGTTTCTGGAACGGAACTAAATATAGTAACAGGAAAGTAATCACCCAATCAGAAACGTGACATGTAACTTTGATTTCCAGATATCCCTGAAAAGCTTCTATTCAACACTGACTGAATGAAATGTTTCGCAGTGTTTGCTGAGTTCCTATAGTTTTTCCTGAAGAATACATTGGAACTTCTCAACAATAACAATTGTGAGCTACTACAATCTTCCTTAATTTTTAATGATTTTTAAATTGTAACATTGTCGATTTGAAATGAAGAAAACTGTAAAACCAACTTTCAAATTAAACAAAAAATCATTCCCTTTATTGGTACAAGTAAAAAAATATGAGAATGGACCCATAGAAATAAATATATCTATGTATAAGTTAATAAACTTGACAAATAAGTCAATATACTACATTCAACTTCATGTCATCAGATTGCTTAGAATTGTTAAAAGATTTAATAAGCTAATATATATATATATATATATATATATATATATATATATATATATATATATATATCAAATCTTTATTAAGTTAATCTAAATTACAATACATATAGTCATTGAATAAATTCATTGTATTAAATTAAAGTCAGCGTCAATAGATAACTTACTATATTTAGATTTATTTTGGTTGTTTTTTTTGGTTGTTTTTCTAAATTCAAATTGTATATTTTCAATTAAATTTACTTAAATCATATGTTTGTAAATTATGGCAAGTAAAACACGCAGTTCTAATTATATATGTAACCTCTTTGTGATTACATATATGTCGGTTTAGAGATAGAAGACAGTTGTTATAAAAACTATTGATTTCTTTTTTGAAACACATCGAAGGTGATCTTCAACAAATACCACTATTATTTAGGTTAGTTATTACAAGTAAAACACAAATACCGTGTTTGTATCACACTATGGTATATATATGTATGTATGAATTGAAAGTAGTGTATCTCTGTCTATTCAAACTTCTTTTATGACAGTGAATGTGATATTTTATTTTAAAACTGATGAACATTAGCAAGACCTGTATTCAATCGGGTAGGTATGATCATGATAAGTGAAGTCTAACAACACAAACAATTGTTTAATCCTCCATTTAGATTGTTGATGTCACTTCAACGTATGCGTAGAAATCCTGTTTTAAAAAACTGAGTTTAATCTCAATGTAGTTATGCACACATCAGTGACTACATTAGGTGAATTTTTCTTGGAATTTGTGTAAAGAAAATTACATATCATGTCCTGAATGAGACAATTGTTTATATTTAGTAGAAGGCCCAATAACATTTATTTCTGTAATGACCTTTGCTGTTTTCTGTTTGAATATCACTATCTATTTGATTGTACGTAGAAAGTGTGGCTGAACAGAATTAAAAAGAATTGATTACTTCATCGTCATGTGATATTGCCTGATATCGATAGAAAAGAGCTAGGGAATACATTATATGCATTTCAACAAAACACACTGTATGTTCTGTTTCTGAAGATAAGTAGAGAATATTAAGGGCAAGAATATTGATGTCGAGATTGTTATAGTGTATGAGATGTCAAGTCATCCATAAACTAGCAGCCACTGTAACTTGATTGATAGAATTCTATCAGCACTGAGGCCTTGAAAAAATACGACATTGGTTACTACTCTGTGATCACTGAATGTAGTTGATCATCTTATTAGTGCCTATATGATCATAGCGTCTGTATGTATACATGCGTCTGTAGTGTTTTATCATTTATCAATTTAGGGGACTTGTGAAGATTGAAATATTTTCATTTAGCTGAACACATGCAAAAAATTTCTCACCGATACACATTTTTCCTAGAATGCCACTTAATTCATTTAAGATGTGGAACACATTTAATAGAACACGCAAGTACACATGCGCGTACATGAAGGTGTATACTACACGAACGAACATATTTAACACTAAAACATCTATCGAATATTGATAAATAATTAGTTATCCCATCACAAAATGATAAATATGTTAAATTTATATGATATTGTGATTTGCAAAAATAAAATGCAGCCAAAATGTATCCATCAGCCTAAAAACATCAGATGGGAAAAATTGTGTATATTCAAACACAAAGAGAAAAATCAGAACATATGAAGAATGAAAAAAAAAGGATTTATTCAATGTATGCGCGCATGTCCTCTTACTTATTATCCAGTTACAAAACAGAATCATACAATCAATCAACATTCATTCAAATAAACAAATGCGAATAGTTTTTGTACATGGGAATATCATCCAGTGAGACATCAAACTCTTATCCTCCTACTACTCATTTTCATACATAAACTACAGGTGTAAGGTAATAAAAGGCAATATAGAGAGATAGACAGACACATGCATATGATAAAAAATTTTATATTCCGTATGTCCACCCACGCATTAAATCATTACGCGTTGAAGGGATACGAGTCTAATAACTAAATAACTAAGTCAATTGAATAATTAATTTGTCAGTGTATTATGCACATAATAATAATTAATTAATTAATTAATAATAAATCTGTTTCTAGAAAATGCAGGTGAACAACAACATTAGAGACAAAACACATAGAGAAACGAACAATTTTTTTCCAGTGAAAATACTTTGCTTAAATCAAGACTTAAACAACATTTTCTGTTTGACTTGATGAAAGAAAGCCACGAAGAAATTTCGCTAGCTTTTGGTTATGGCAAACGCAAGAATGTATATATATATATATATATATATATATATATATATATATATATATATATATATATATATATAGAAAGTATGCATATTTCGTTATTTTACAAATCGTTTATGATAAGAACTACAACAATTTATCTTACAAGGTTGCTAGTAGCAGTACATAGTAGCGTTAATAGTAGTGTTGGCAAAGAGATTTATAGCATAGGAGAATGATTTCCTCATGTTGTCGTTGTTGGTGGTTGGTTTAACGGTAAAATGTATTCATGGTATTTTATTTTTGAAACCGTACCATTCCATAAAGATTCACATCATTACCAACTGATTGTCTTTGTCTGGTACCCAAAGACTAGCCTCAGAATAACTCAATTAGTGGTACCAACATACGCGAACGATGCTTCGAAGACGTCTATGATCAGCTACCAGTGATAACCTACGAATATATTTTGGTTTTAAATGCCAAGTTTTACATTAACGCTATGAAACATTGTTTATAAAATAGATATATGTGTTGACTGGAAATTTTTGATTGTATCTTCGAAGAAATGCTCGCACGTCGTGAAACGACCAAGTAATGGTGAGGTTAAGCATAGAGTATAAGGAGAATACGATAGATCAGTTGACAAGGCTATAAATATTCATCGACTGAAGTGGTAGAGATATGTTTTACGTATGCCCGACAATTATCTATATCGATGAGTGATATTGACTGCTGTAGAAATAGACTGGAAGTAAGCAAAAAGCGTTAAAACCATGGCATCTAAGAAATTATTCACTGTTGGACTGAGATGTGTTGGTAGTTATGGATTACATGGTTGTAGATCGCGAGGTTATACTTATATTTATTCTACTACTTTTTTGGTATTCATTGTAGTAACTTCGTATCACTGTATTAATGTGTTGTGGCAGGTAACTTTGATCGAAGCACAAGCATGTCAATTTCTATGTTCATTAGGACTAACTAACTGGCTGTCTCGACATTATTGCCAGTACAAAGAGAGGAATAAAAGCAATTATAATCTCTCCATAAGTTATGGACAGCTCATTCGCTGAATGTTGAATTCAATTCGCGGTTGTCAGCAAGCATACCATTGATTAGTTGGACTTTTCTACTAATTGTCTTTCCGTTTGATCATATTACTTATTTGTTTAGGGTTTATTCTCATCTCTGAATAGATTAAGTATACTTTAACAGGTTTACTGATTGTTAAAGGATTGCAAATTACATTAAGTGTATTCAGGTGTTAATCACACAATTATCCCGTACACATGCTTGATAAAACAACAACAAAAATGGAGTATCGAGTTAGCTTGAATATATAATTTATTAATTCAATTAGACAAATTGGAATATGTCTAACCTATTAATATATACATATGCGAATAAACTCAAGACGGTTTCATAAAATAATATTAATACAGAAGTTTGTGATAACTACACGGAATTTTGTTATTGTGTTAAAATCATGCAAGAAAGTAAAGATAAAAACACGTTGACATTAAACTTCTAATAAGAGAAAATAAAAATCAGCAGTTACATAATTCTTAAATGTGATATGATGTAAAATTGATTACAATTGTGTGGGTCTAATGAATGGTTTAAAAATAATTTTTACTTTACAGTCAATAAAAAATTCCGATAAAAATTCTCTTTTATTCACTTCAGTTTTTGGCAATTATTAGGCAATATCATTCACTAGCCCTATCCATGTATCTCTCTCTCCCTCAAACACACACATACACATACACGCACAAAAAACTGTGGATAATAATTGAGTATAGGATCATGTGCTTGTGTTCTTTAATAATAATAATAATAATAATAATAATAATAATAATAATAATAATAATAATAATAATAATAATAATAATAAATAATGATAATAATGTTATTCAAATTCATATTACATTTATTGTTACAGTGATGAATTTTGAGTAGGAAATATGGAATATTTCAACAAATCCTCCTACACTTTAAGATATTTTTAAACTGGTAATTCCGCCCTTAACATAGTTCTTATCAAATCGTATATATATCACAACTAATAATTCATTGTTTCTAATCTTATATCATAAATACTTTTTTCAAAAAGTGTGCATCATAAAATAATAATGGGTTTTAATATTCTGATTAGAATTTTAGAAAAAGGATAAATTTAGGTTACAATCTGTCAGGAGATGCTTCACATTTGATAGTTTTGAGAGTAATCATACATTAGGAATGGATACGCAATACTGACAATTTATTAATCACTGAGTAGTGACCAATATCATGTGTGTCAGGTCCTTTGTATTACAGATTGAATTCTATCGATCAAGTTGCAATGTGGCCACTAGTTTAGGTGACTCAATATCGCGTGCACTGTGTTGAGATTTAAGGCGGTGGTTGAATGTAGTTGACAAGAAATCGGTGAAATTCGATCGGTACTAAGAAGAACCTTACACATAAAACGTTGGTCACTAACCAGTGATATATCAGTTGTAAATACAACTCAGTCCTCAAGAAGGTTAGTCGTGGCCCAGATAGGTCAAAGGTAACATCCACTGAAACGATTTTTTATATGCAGAATCACCAATTTACAGCATTCGTAATCTTGCATTTAAAGTGGAAATGCCTCATTGTAAATTTACTCTTTATATGACCTACTGTACGAGTGAATTCTTGAGAACCTGGAATAGTAATGCCATTGATGAATTATTGCATAATTTGAGACTTACTTTAAAGATTCCTGATTGATTCGAGTAATTAGACAGTTGTTTGGTTAGAAACTTATCACAAAGCTATAATATAAGTGTTGTTCAAAAATAAATCATGACATGAAAATTCAGACAGCCAATCAAAACAAATCAACGAACAAACTGAGAAAGAGAATGATATCGGCTCAATGGTCAAGAGGTTAAGCGTTCGCGCGCCAAACCGAAAGTCCTGGGTTCGAGTCCCACGTACAGTATCGTGGATGAGCACTGCTGTGGAGTCCCATACCGGGACGAAATGGCCATCCAGTGCTTCCAGGTTTTCAATGGTGGTCTAGCTTATATTGACTCGTGAATGCAACTGTTAAGATACTACAATCATCACAAATCTCCATACTAAAAATGATGACTGTTGACTATTTAAATAGAATCCAATTAAGAACTTACCCGATCTCGCATTTTTTCACGAACAAATAGTCGCAGTACATTGAATGGAGCCCGAAACCAAAATGGTGGTTCAATGATAATCACTTTACGTAGACGAGCTGGATAAACACCCTATTTAGAGGATACGAGTGACATAAACATTGTACATACATGGACAAACGAAAACAAGATGAATGATAAAAAATGTATATCAGAGAGAAAAACGTTCTGTGGCTAATATTTATACTTAATAGGTAAGTCCAAATGCATAAACAAAAAAGCAATGCACAGGAATATGTACTAGGTACTAGGGATCAGTTCAACTGGCCTTCAGCCACACTTCGGTTTCCCACGATCCCCAGTCGACCTGAATGGCAAGTTGATGTAAGTCCTCCGACTCTTTACGAAGTTGAAAAAGCTATAGGAAATCTGAAGCGTGGGAGAGCAGCAGGCCCTGACAGGTTTACCCCTGAGATTTTTAAGGATGGCGGTCCAGTATTAGCAGCGAGATTGACTGAGGTCTTAGGTAGAATCTGGGAACTGGACGTAATCCCATCTGACTGATCTCAATCACTGATTGTACCAGTCTATAAGAAAGGACAAAAGTCCTCCTGTGACAATCACAGAGGAATTAGTTTGACTAATATAGTGTCTAAAATATTAGCTTCAATAATACTTCGACGTCTAACCAAAGCTCGTGAAGAGCAGACTAGAGAAAACCAGGCTGGTTTTCGACCTGGACGTGGTTGCATTGATCAAATATTCACATTACGTCAGGTCCTAGAACATAGACACACATTCAGACGTCCCACAATGGTAGTATTTCTCGACCTTAAGGCGGCATTTGACTCTGTTGATCGTAAGGTTCTATGGCAATGTTTGTCACTGAAGGGAGTACCAAAGAAGTACGTCAACCTTATAAAGGCTCTCTACTCGAACACAACTGGTCGAGTGAGAGCTTATGGTGAACTGTCATCAGAAGTGATTACCTCAAGTGGTGTTCGTCAGGGCTGTCCACTCTCTCCATTCTTGTTTAACTTTGTCGTTGACGTCCTTTTAGAGATGACACTTTCCTCATCTAAATTTCCAGGAGTTGAACTTCTACCGGGAGATCCACTTGTTGACTTAGAATATGCCGATGACATAGTTCTATTTGGTGAAGACACTGACAGAATGCAGAGTCTGTTGACCACTCTAAGCAACAATGCAAGCCTATTCGGCATGCGATTCTCTCCCTCGAAATGCAAAATGTTACTTCAGGATTGGGTTGCATCGACACCCGAACTAGTGATAGGGAGTGAAGTAGTTGAGCGTGTCGACCGCTTCACTTATCTTGGAAGTCTCATCAGCCCTTGTGGTTTGGTGTGTGACGAAATCTCAGCACGGATACAAAAGGCTCGACTAGCTTTTGCCAACTTGCGTCATTTATGGCGTAGGCGAGATATCCGTCTATCAACCAAAGGACGTGTTTACTGCGCAGCAGTTCGTTCCGTCCTACTTTATGGCAGTGAAACATGGCCGGTAAGAGTAGAGGATATTCGTAGGTTACTAGTATTTGACCATAGATGTCTTCGAAGCATTGCTCGTATATCCTGAGACCACCGAGTAAGTAACTCAGTTGTTAGGAAACGGGTACTAGGTAAGGATGGAAAATCAATTGAGGAAGTAGTGAAACTCAATCATTTGAGATGGCTGGGACATGTGTTGCGCATGCCCGACCACCGACTGCCCCGACGTGCTATGTTTTATGGTGTAGGAGTAGGTTGGAAGAAAGGTAGGGGCGGCCAGACCAAAACATGGCACAAATCCATGAAGTCACTGACAAGTGGACTGAGTCATGTTGGTAGGTGTACACTACCTGGTTGGGGACCGCGAGATGATAGCAACCGATGGTTAGAGATCTTGAATGACATGGCTCAAAATCGTTTGCAATGGCGCAGGTGCATCCGCTCTTTGTGTTCTCTCAAACTCTAATCTTCTGAATTCTTCATGTCCTTTATTTTCTTTCCCAATTTATTCCACTGGACTATACTCCTTTAATAACATCATCAAACCTTAATGTCCCCTATCTCTACTTATACTTTCAGTACCTCGACCACTATGGGATTTGAATCGATAACTGAATCTCTGTGCTAATGTGGTATGGCAACTCGAACTGATGTACGTACGTACGAAGTTCCACGTTGTTACTGACTGACTGACTGACTAGGTTTTAAATTTGCTAATGTCTACCAGTCCAAGTTGGTTGCCACGCGAAATCAGTAAATCGAGATGAAAATATAAAGATAAATACCAAAGGCGTACAGGATATGATTCAGAAACGCTTGAACTATGGGGAGATTAAGAGTGAAGGCATGTATTATATTGGAACTGATTCGGATCTACTTCATCCAAAGTCTCAAACCATTGTTTACAATAATCACATAGACTTCTATCACAGGTAGTTTAGAGATAGCAACAGGGTCTAGTACTAGAGTCAATGACTTTATGGATTGATGGTAAGTCTTGTTTTGGCCGTTTATAGCCTTTTTTAATCTACTACTATACCAAAAAACATCGAGCGTCGACATAGGTGATAGTCGAGTATGCGTAGTATTAGAATCTGACAAAGAGTATCAGTGCTCTTAAGATTGCAGATTACACCATGTTCAAAGGATCGGTTTTCTACCGGTTGCCTCCAAGCACATAACACAAAAGATAATTCATACAAGGGATAAAAATCGGCATATAAACGTGAATAAAAACGAAACTTTTCATCGAAAGTTCATTAATGACATCGACAAACTGATAAATCCTAATTGAATCAGTTTTGGAGCAGCGGATTATGAGTAACACTAATCAACCTTCAACTTACAGGTCTAAGGCTGCAATCCTGAGTATCTAGAATCAAGAGACTACACGAGACATAAAGACAAATAATTAAAAGACTAAGTGAGAGTTGATTTGTACGAAATACAAAGGGAAATCAAACTTGAGCTTCATGATATTTAGCAGTCAGGTGTATATCTACAATTTTCAGGGTCCTGGTGTTCCCTATTGTATTTGACCGAACATCAATGTAAAAGGTGTTACTAATGAACTATTAGGATAATAACTGATCATTTTAATGGAGAGACTGAGATACTTGTACTGATTAACTGCTGAATAGAAATCATTCTCATATTTGTCTAATTCCGAATGATGATCAAACCTTATTAAGCAAGTTTTAAAATCGTAATAGGTATCTGTTCCCGAAACTAGTGTAGTTCCAAAGTCAAAGGTTTTTCATTGTAAGTGGCTGCAATATTACTTGTGTTTATACCATACTGAAAAGCGTAAATAAGCATTAATAGCAACTGTGGTACTATGATGAGTTATTGAGCGATTGCAACTAAACTATCGCATATTACTACATCAAGTAATCAATTATAATTCAAGTTGGTTACACTTATTTCAATTGATATATTAACTAAACACCTTTACTTGTGGTACAATGAAACGATATGATAATTTTTTTTAGAATGTGTGAGTGTACTATGGATTTATTTATTTAGACACGTAAACATTGGTACAATGAGGCGCCAGATAGATATGAGACATATAAGTCATTCGACTTGTGTGAGGGCTGGAATACGGCCCGGGTGCCAAGACCGAAGCAGGTGGTTTTCTTAGGGGGGGCACGCCCGGAGATTTCGACCTAAAGGTTTGGTCCATAAGGCAATCGAGCAACGTTAGGAGATGCAGTCCCATGGTAACCGGTGGCCAACAGTAGATTCATAGGCCATTTGTTCCTTCAGGATACTGGAGTTCATGTGCACTATTGGTTTGGAATCAGGGTTTTCCAACTCCCCTAGGCGGATCCTCAGTATCCACCAACCCGGTTAGAGCACTAGACATTCGCTTTTCATCCTGTCGATTTCGTAAGCAACACTCCAGCAGCGAGGACTTTCCTAGCAGTGGCTGCATAGGCTTGGCCATGTGAGAGCATTTCGAGAGGGAAAGCTCTTAAAATTACGATTCCCAAACGATGCTAGCAAGGAAATTGTGACTCATTGGCTAAAAAAACGGTACAGAAAACATTTAATGCGGCCAGACTGAGTGATGTTTTTTACAACCGCCCCATAATAAAGACATTGCCTGAATTCGCCACATCCATATGTATTTACCAATTCAATTGCTCCTATGGAGCCAGTTTTATAGGGCGTACAATTCGACAAGTCCGTCATCTCATAACAGAACACCATCCGTCTTGGTTGAGCGAAGGACAGATAGGAGTGATTAAGAGTTCTATTCTCGCTCACTTGGTGGACATTGGTCATCAAGTTGGATTGAATAAAGCTTTTAAGGTTATCCACCATATTTCATCAAATTTACCACATGGTTTACGAGTTCATCTTTTGCACGTTTCTGAATCCATTGGGATCCATGCTCACAAACTAAACCTTGGCATCCGAATGATGTTTGTACAACCATTCTCGCTACCTTGACTATCGATATAGGAGTGGGTTGGTAGCAGAACTTTGATGAAACTCTCTCCGTCAAAAGTATTTAAACTATTTTCTAACTTCTTCCACCTTTGTATTTTACCTATTCTCAACATTCGTCCCTTGATGTCTTACATAACTATTATAATACCGAACTTTCATCAAAATATTTTGTTAGTTCCTTCTTTTTATATATTACGCAACGTAGCAACTGTTTGATTTCCGAATAATTACTTTGATTATTATAATTCTCTTCTTCCAGTTGCTCAATGTTATTTTATAATCAATATGTCATTACATAATTATTATATGAAATAACTAATCGATGGGTATTATTTCATTGTTATAAATCATGCATAAACATATTAATGTACAGCCATGAAAAACTAATTAAATCAAAGTACATTGACGAGTCTAAGGTGGGACAGAACGCACATACTGGTTTGCATTGACAACTAAAATTAAAATATACTAAAACTTGTGACAAAAGGCAATTCGTTTAGGATGTATGTATGGCAGCAGAAACTGACTGATTGCAGTCCTGAACCTCAGTCACCAACTATTAATCAGTTTTGTATTTATTTCATCGCTATTGGCATCAAATATGAAATCATTAGAAAATAAAGGGACTATTTGACATTTGTTTAGAAAACACACCAATGACATGACATGACATTGAAACTATGAGTAATAATAATCTCTATAACTAGTATTCCTCCTAAAAATGAGGATTGTAATGAGAACTATTTCTTAAAGAGAGTCTAGAGGAAAACCTATGGTACAGGATTAAGCCTTTACTCTCGGTAAAGCTGTAGTTGACATTGGATCAAACAGTGAACACTCAATCATAACAATTCAGATTCTAATTTCTCTACAATTCACAAATACAAACAACTAATGAGTTTTATCTAAACGAGCTGTCATCTTCTATGAGCTTTTTTCTAAATCACATTGAATCAATTGAAAAGTAAACAGTGTGCGTGTGTATGTCAAGGCATGTGACAATCGATACCGAAATCACCAATAATTCTTCGTCTAATTGTCTGACAGTAATTACAAAGAACGGTAAACAGCACTTCAATAATCGATTCAACTCAGTCAATAAGTGTACAGGTGACTTATTCGTCTCATGTGAGAATTTATGACACAACCCATATTCGATCTCTAGTTGGTGTGTCACCAGCTAAATAAGAATCAAACCTCCATCGAGTAGCACTACCTTGAATTACAGTAGCACTCTACATTAGGTGACGATTACATTTTACGATGAAGGTTACCATGAAATTAAATAGATAAGCCACCAAAAACAAAACTAACTTACTTTGAATAAATTCAACAATTTGATGCAAAGATGATAATCGAAATTGGAATATTTTGTATCACGCATATCGTACAGTACCACAAGTCCTTTTCTTTGCGACTGCTCACTATATTTAAGTAAATATTTGTTATTTTATTTCGGGATTTAAAAGAAAGAAAAAAAATAGCACACGTGTAAACAGTTTGCGAAAAATGTTATATTACTTAGACAATAAGTTAATTTCAGAAATCACAGAACAGTAACAGGCTGAATTGTATGTGCTTTAGGACTCTATCCAGAGAATCGTAACCAATAGATGTTAGTCCTATACAGGTATCTTTCATATCAGGGAATAACCACCTGGTTGATTTTTTTTCTTAGTTTCAGAACATTAAGATTAAATACATGGTGTTGGTGTCAAATGTGAGAAATCATTCGCATGGCGATAATCAAACACGAAGTCGCTGAAGATCCATGGTTCAGAAGGCCCAGGTTTTACAGACATGAATCAGAACTACTTTCACGGACGCTTTGTATACCCGGTACATTAAAGTCATACCAACATCAGTATAGAGCTAAAGATGACCCAGATTGATATGAGCCACTATGGTTTCCCTATAATTAGAATATCCCGGTGACCCACACCAACACCAGTACATTATTTATCTTTCACTTATTAAGTACAAACTTGTGTACTCGGTTCCAAACTACAGTTAATGATAATTATTATTAGCAGTATTAGTATTTTTGCAAAAACGGTTACATATTAGAGTTTCCGGTTGCCCGACGGTAAAGTGTATTTATGAAAAATTGAAAATCTGCTAATACATTTCAGAGAATGGGAAACTGAATAGAGTGAACATCTACTGCACAACAACACATCGACGTTACTAATCCAGGCACTAACATGAGGTAAAGAATAAGAGATTTCCAGAATAGCTTTATGTTCCAAACGGAAGTGAAAAGATAAATTCAACGTTTCCTAGTAATCGTTTCGTCGATTTCTACCATACATACATACATACAACTTTAAACGAATAATTTACGTTTTTCATGTTGATAACACACATTTCCCTGTAATACCCGTATCACTGGACCGTCAAAGCTGCAGTAGCATTAGCAAGAATAGTAGCCAAAGTCACTGGTCCTTTCATTATTCAGTCTATGAAAATAAACATGACATGTCTCGAGAACGAGAAAATGTTCTCATTTTTATTGATTCCCTTTCTCAACACATTTGAACCGAAATGCTACGTTATTACAACGCTCTACATATGGTTGAAGGAGTCATTTTGACTCTACAATTATAAATAATGGAGCTTCTCAACAATCCCATTTATTGCAGATGCTAAATCAAAACATCTTTGAAATGCCCAGTAAACCGATTGTAGGTGTTCGTTATGAATTCAAATATGGGTCGTGATTTTGAAATCCCGAAATCGATTTTGATTAGCTCGTCAACATGTTATGGTCTCGTTGTTCTTTCTCTAGGGGATAACTTCAATCAAACACTTTTCCTATTTATATTTCCACAGAAGCCCATGCTGCCATCAGACTAGTTGTTGTTCTTAGTTAGCTACATTATGTGCTTCCAAGTTGTCGCACGTTACTGCATAAACAGTTATTTAATTTCAATTGTTGACTTCCATTTAGATAAAGAAATTCTGAAAATCTCTTCTTCTTTACCTCATGTTAGTGCCTGGATTAGTAACGACGATGTGTTGTTTTGTGGTAGACGTTCACTCTATTCGGTTTCCCATTCTCTGAAATGTATTAGCAGATTTTCAATTTTTCATAAATACACTTTACCGTCGGGCAACCGGAAACTCTAATATGTAACCGTTTTTACCAAAATACTAATACCACTAGCAGAAAATATGTAACTCAGTAATTCATTGTATTGTTAATTAATCCAATCAAATCTATTGACATTGTAAACTGTGTGCATAGATTTCGTCACGGATTAATTTATATCAACCTCTATCTAGTTAAATATATTTGCCAAGTGACCAGATAGATAAATCTGATATAAATTGTTGTATTAAAATAGTTTTTGAATTCGTGGTAGGTGCATAATAAAATTTTCATCTGTGATCTTGCATTCTTCCTTTATATCGACTTGTATCCGTTCTTATTCATTTGCACAGGGATAAATAACCAATTATATTCTCTGCAGGATATTACAAGTATCCATACCACTATTTTGTGCAGATATATAGTGAAGGTGTGTATACAAAATAATGATACATACAGTTTGCGATCATATGTGGGTTTTTTTTCCATAAATGTTTACACATATACATATATCAATGTATTCATCACATGAAAACAATGATACTTGGAAAACAAACTAAGCGGTTTTTATCAAGTGAATCAAATAACATTTTCATTAAGAATACAGGAGACTTATCTGATAATGTGTGTAATGCATGTACAAATTATAAGTGATTGAAAGTTTTAATTAGATTAATTGTCAAAATACAATAATAATTTTGTCAAAACTTGTTCCTTTCATTAAATTATACATAGACATTAACGAGATTGTCAAACTATTGAATAAATACAGATAATGTATTTATTCATTCATTCATCTATATCGGCATGTGATTAAGAACAAGTCAGAACATGGAAGAGTTTGAGTCAGTTTAAAACTAATGATTCAGTAAATTTGTATAGTTGCATTACGAAGAAGTTTGGATGGCCTACCAGTATTTCAATGTCCAGCATAGATACGATTTTTAAAGCTATAGAGTACAGACGTAGAAATTTGGTGAATTATCAGCCAATTAGGAAAGGCGAACAACGCGAAGTAATGAAATAACAGCTTTCATCACAATAATTAATCCTCAAAATTCAAATTATTCCTTGCAGTTAAGAAAAAGAGAGTAAGTTTACATACATGCATACGTATTAGGGGTTGGGTCACTGTTGTGAGTAGCGTCATCACCCCATAGGTTTTCGTCACCAACTGATATGTCATAATGCAAAAAGGTTAGGGTTAGGTATTTGAGTTTACAAATTACGGTCAGGGTTTTTAACACGAACTAACAACAGCTACAATGCAACGCTTTACCAACCTTCTGTTTACAAACTTGAGAATCTTAAGGATGAGACTTAGAGTGAGAAACGGGGAACATTATCTAGCTTTATTAAACACTTTTGATTACACAGTGAACAACATCTGGTACTTGAACACACAATCTGCCTTAGGAGTGGGTGTTTCGAAATTCAGTTTAGGCACCATCAAAAATTCCCCTTGTATTATGTATATATATATATATATATATATATATATATATATATATATATATATATATATATATTGGTTTTAAGAACCAAATATTGCCGATTTTTACCTGGTTCATAAAAACATACACATTATGTATTACTGAACTTTTTAACTTCAAACAAAACACATGAGGCGTCGTTTAGATTCCGATTAGTTAACTCAAGAAAGTTAGTATATTATACTTTCATCGAAAGGGTTAATGATACAAAAGCTGAACACAACCTCAGAAATTATTAATGATACAGACGTATCTATAGTAGTGATGTCATTATTCATCTATCTAAACTAAAATTTTACATGGTCCTAAATTCAAACCAATGACCTAAACAAGTTATAATCATTGAAGTTTGTAAACCACTGGAATTTTAAATATTGATGTTATAATACTGTATTTGATTCATTCATTAAATTTTCATCCTTTAAACTAGATTTTCGTAGTTTACATCACAGATTGATTATAGTGAGACCACCACTAAAAGGTAGGAAACACTGGATAGCTATTTCATCCTAGTATGTAGCTTCGCTGTGGCAGTCGGCAATATTGTGAATTGTGATTGAAGTTTGAAATCTAAACAATTAGATTCTTGTTTAGTGGTCTGAATGTTTAGCGCATACCACGAGATCTGAAAATCCTGGGTTCAACTTCTGGATGTGGATGTGTATTGCTATGGTACCCCCCCCCATTACTATGAGGAAATAGCTGACCAGTGCTTCATAGTTTTCAATAGTTATCTAACTGAAGTCTATATGTGATATCAACTATGAAATTCAATAATCTCCATAAACCACCGATAGTCAAAACAGTTTGTATTGATTTCCTTCAATTAATTATGATAAGAGTATAGTATACTGATGACCTGGAACTACTTTATTAGCCAATCAGAAACAAAATATTTAGTTTAAAAAAAATTAACAACAAAACGCAATAGCATTCCAGTGAATGAATAGCTTTGATGTGATTACATTTTGCATCATTGATTATAGTAAACAAAGAAGGGTTAAATTTGGGTACTGTATTCGAGTCCCGGAGTGAACATCAATTCTGAGATGCAGTTATGTCCAGCCGACGAGTCCCAAATAGGACGAAACGCGCATCCTGAATTCCACTGCTAGCAACTATCTATGTTTGCTTATAAAGGTTGGGGTTTTCATCATGAACTGCCATCAACTATAATGAAATGATGCTTAGTCTCAGTTTTGTTTATAAAATTATAAAAGCTAGGGGTTGAGATTCAGAGATAAAATTTAAAGTGGGAGAATACCTTTTAGCTACACAAACATCCTTGACTATGCATTGAATCACATCAAATACTTTCATATACAGTCTGCATCAGCAGTAAGTGTTTCTTTTTTTGTGTAATTTAGCTTGAGTATCATGTCACATCTACTTTTATCGTTGTACAGAAGATATTTTTAAAATAAATTATCAGTATTTTATAAAGCAATTACGGTAGCAACAACGCAAGAACTCACAAAATCAACTGCGTACAAACTTTATTCAAGAGGGCGAGGACACATTGCAACACGCTTGTAGCGTGGGAAAATGAAGAAAAATATCTAGAGACTATCTTTTAAAGGAACGGTTACCCAATCAACTCTATCAAAAAATATCAGCTCAAGGCATCAGCAGAAACAAAATCAAGTACAGAAACCAACAAACGAATCATCCTACCATATATAAAAGATGTCACGAATTACGAGACTATTGAAGCCGTTTAGGATAGGTGTAGCACACAAACCAGCAAAATCACTTCAATCAACCCTATGCATACCAATGGACGAAATGAAAAGAAATACCGAACATCATCTACAAAATAAATTGTTCCAACTGCGAAAAACACTACAACGGACAAAGTGGACGACCCCTCCATCTTCACCTGCACGAACATCGATCAGCAGTCAAATAACATGACATATCCTCGCTTATATCAAAGCACGTGGATCAACAATAACCAATCAAGATCGAGATCGACCGGACAAGCTGTGAGTTATATATGCGGATAAATCCGAACACTTCACTTCTACCTAAAGTTTGTGCTGATGATGTCGTTCAGAAGAACAACGAAGGCTCCACGATCAAACCATCCAGCCTAGAGAACGAAACTCTATCTAAATAAAAATCAAACTAGTTGTATTTCTGTTCGATATGATATACCATTTTAAAAAAGATGAGAGAAGAACAAAACAGAATACTCCCATAATTTGTAGCAAAAATTAATACAATGATTGCATTCATCGCCCCCAAATGCCATGGTACGGCCGAGAGTGGGGAGAGTCTGCTCTCCCTCTTGAAATGCTCTCACATGGCCGCGCGTATATAGTTTCTGCCTGGGAAATCCTACATACTGCCTTCTCGTGGCGGGGGTGTTAATCACGAAATTGAGAGGACGAAAAGCGAATGTCCAGAGCTTTAACTGGGTTGGTGGATACTGAGGATACGCCTAGGGGAGTTGGAAAACCCTCATTTCAAACCAATGGTGCACATGGGCTCTAGCATCCTGAGGGAACAAATGACGTATGAACCAATCGTTGGTCACCGGCTATCACGGGACTGCATCTCCTTACGATGCTCCACTGCTTTGTGGATCAGAACTTTAGGTCGAAGGCTCCGGGTTTGGTCCCCTAAGAAAACCATCTGCTTCGGTATCACAACCCTCGCACAAGTCAAATGAGATTTGTGTGGTGCATATGTATTTGGTGCCTCCTTGTACCAATATCTATATGTTCAAATAAAATAAATAAATAAATACATAATATTCTTATTTTATTCTTCAAATTATTAAGTCATGACGACAAGAAGACGACTTTTACCCTAATTGAATTATTATTTTAACTTTAAAATGCATGTGATGATAAGGAAATGAAAACAATATTAATGATTAATCTCAACAGGTGTAAAACTATGATAGAAAAAAAAATGAAATTTAAAATTTATTTGTCGAAATGTATACACAATGTTACTATGGTGACAGGGAATGGGTCAAATGAAAAAAGTTTAAAATTATGATAATATTAGAATATAATAAGACTGGAAATGTTAAATCTCTATTAGAAGAGAAATAGAGTAGTTATTTGCGGTCATTAACCTCGACAATAGGGAAATAAAAACATTTACAAATAAATTAAAGGGAAATGAACATATGTTAATGTGTTATTATTATTATATTATTCAAATAAATAGTTTGATCGGATATATTCTCAGTTAAAATGTACAACGAAAGAATTACTTACTCCATCATTACTGCATCTAATTGATATAGAACACCTTTTAAAGTATCTCTATGTGTAGTTAAAGGAGGCCAATGACGATAAGCTGTAAATATAGCAACAGTTGCATCCATTTCATCATCAGGAAGAGTGGGCTGAAAAAAAAGTACATTAATGATAAAAATGATCAAGTGAATGTTGTCTGTCTCTATCCAACGAGAAAAAAAATCCGGTTTATTCATTTTAGGATTTGAATTCTTACAATTATGCAACAAATAATTTATAACTTCAACTGGAATAAAAGCTCACTAATTGTTAAGGACTTTGTTTAAAATGAAATTTTTCAAAAACGAAAGTCTGTTGAAGGATAGATAATTCTTGAATTCATTTACAAGAGTTGAGATTAGTGTTAATGGCATTTTATGACAACAGTTGTATAAATGTATATGAAGACAATTTACTTATCTTGGAAGTCTGATCGCCGTATACGGACGAATCTGACTGTCGGACTGACAATTTACCTGATAAGTTCTAATATTATTCACTTTAGAGAAATCATGTGTATTGCAAGTGTTAAACTTAAATCCAAATTAATTTAGAAACATCTTATGTTGAATAACTTCAAAAAAGTTAAATGTTCCATGATCATGCAATAAGCAACATCAACAAATATTTTTAAACGATTTCTGAACATCCGTTCAATTTTGAAGACACATACACATACATAACCACAAAAAAATAGGTACATTCTCCTAATTCATAGATGAAAACAAGTTTCAAATGAACTATACATTTTTTATTAGTCCCTAAGACATAAAAAGTGTGTATACCATAGAGAAAAGATATTGAAGCATCACTAGTAAGTATATTGTTTCGTAAAATGTTTAATAGTATTTTATAGTTAAAAAATCGATACGATAATTGCATTTAGGCAAGCAATAAAATTCGAGAAAAAGATAAAAAAAAAGTCGAATGAGAGAAAAGTGTGTAAATGTTAAACAACACTAGAACTATACGCCAAATATATATATAGTCGAAGAATTTCAAACCTTAGTCAGGTGAATCTGTTTTATGACGGTTTAATTAATACAAAGAATCATTACTAAAGAGATGGTCGATTGGTATTATTATTATTATTATCAGTAAAATATTCAACAAACCAAGCATATACAAATATGCAAAAATTATCAGGCCAGAAGAAAAATAACCATATATCAATTAAACCAACTGGAGAAAAGGTTTGATTGGAAACTTCTTAGCATGTTGAAGTTACTAGGTAATATAGATTATAACTAAAGGTCAGTTACCATACAAAAATTAAAGTAGAACTCGATGAAAATATTGCAAAGCTATCACATTGCATTAATGAATATTCACACTTTATCGCCTGTGATTTATAGCATTTAATACAGAAATACTGAATGTTTAAATTTTGGCATTGTTTACTCAATTGTTCTCATGACTTCGCTGAAGATACATATAGTCAAATACTAGTGAACTATGAAACTCCTTCACGACATCTTTAAATTAGACCAAATTGATACCTTTATTTTAAAGGCAAGCAAATGAAAATACAGAGAAAAAGAAGCTGATGATCGTGAAACAATATTGATCATTCAAAAAATGGGTTCAAGTCCCATGTGCGGGATCGTGGATGCGCACTGCAAAGTTCCGTGCGAAAACAAAACGGTCGTACATTGCTTCCAGGTTCTTAACGGTAGTCTAACGTTGATTTCGGTCAAATTTAACAGTTTCTACAACCCTTTACTGACGATTATCATGTCCTTACTAGTGACTAGCTTTAAAGGAAATTTCCGGAGTTCTAGTGAAAGTCGTAACTAGTGGGACAAATCCGTGTCGGGTGTGAGGTTACCCACCAATGATAATGGAAGATGGTCGCGCAATATCGTGGATCAATTGGAGTTTGGTATCAACATCGTTGAATCCTGTGGTTTAGAAGTCAAGCATTCGCACGTGAGGTCGTGGTTGCGCACTGCTAACGAATCCTATGTTAGGACGAAATGGTCGTACAGTGCTTCTAGGTCTTCAGTGGTGGTCTGACTTAGATCTGTTCATTATTTTACTGAAAACAGACTTATATAGTTTTAAGAACGAACTGAAGATGTGTTTAATTAAGGTAACTAATTGTACATGCAAGGATTTTTGTATTTTGGCACACTATATAGGATTTAGTTTTTGTGTTGTACATACTAATTAGATAAACCATAAATGATCATTTCATCATTAGAACAAATACAAACTTAGTTGAACTTATTAACTTCATTTCTTTTCACTTTAACTCCTGTTATTTAATGTCAGTAAAAAAATTGTTACAAACATTGCTACTTTTCTCAATATAGTATCAGTAAACTTTTTTTCAGAAGTTAATTAGAGCTAATAACTTTTAAGCAAATTAACAGATGTTAACCACTAAAATACATACATAAATACAAAAAGTCGAGATAAAACGTTTTTGCCATGATGGTTAAGCTGAAAGTCTAATAGAGTTTGTTGAACACTAATCAACTGAAATGTGGTAAGAACCCATTATTATTGAGCAAGACAGGGTGTCTGCATGGTTATTCTTTAAATGTCCCATACAAAGCAAAGAAACCTGACGACGGTTTGTGATAGGGTGGAGAACATGATCTTAAGAAGCTAACTTAGACTACTGGCATTTACAAAATATGAAATTTGCCAGATCTATCGTTTTATAAAATTAACTTAATCCAACGACTTGGTTATCCATTCAGTTGTCAGGTAGCCCTGATCAACACAAAATCTGTGTGTTAGTTTACGTTTTCATAGTTTATATCAACACAAAAACAGAGAAAACTGGAAACAAGAGAGGCATGAGAGAGAAAATACCGAATGCAAATAAAAAGCTATTCTTGGAAAAATATAGGTTGAAGAAACATATGAAGATGTGGAGTGAAGTGATACAAAACATAAGATTTAGAGAGAAATTAATGCAACTGTACCACCGTAGCCGATTACGCAATGCAATACCCAGTATCTCCAGCCAAAAATAAGTTTTTGTGCCAGTTCCAACATCGAATTTCTCACCTACCAAGAAGGCTCTGACCAATAAACATTATGAGGTGATGTATTGTATTAGATCTGCTCAATTCTAATTTGTTTTCTGACCTACTTATATACTAGTAGGCACAGAGCAGCAGGGTGGGTGGTGTTGTATAAAACATATGTTAAGCATGTCCCAACCACCTTAGTTGATGACATAGACTAGTCAATGGATCTAGTACTCCTGCTCAGTACCATGTGCCTAATCTCAGGATAACTTACATCATGATTTTAATATCATATGCCCGAAGTCCCGACATCTGTGAGTAATGACTAAAGAGCTATGGGAACAAGAGTGAAGAAAATGGTAATTAACCAGACTTTGTAAAACTTAGGATTTTTTAATTAGTTTATCGAATAATGAAACAGACTGATGAACTATACAATGCGATACACTTATTATGTGATGGTTAAAAATATTTATTTGATTTGACTAGACTGAATTATGTGAAGTAAAGTCGGATAAATGACTTACACCAGATTCTAGGTTCCTCAATTTCACATAATTTTTATTTCACTAATTTACATTCTCTTCTGGAATTGTATAACTTCAATTAATAATCTTTCCAATTACCATTCATAGTGTTACTACCTCTACCACTCTGGTATTGGCCCTAACAGTTTCATTTCGATGCGCCAATGGAGTATGGCAACTTGGAACGATGTACACAAGCACCAGGTTTTATGTTGAGTTTGATTGATAGAGCTGGATAAATGTTTAAAATACATACCCGTAGTACAGTACTATGTTTATACTGACATCGGTTAAACTTCAAACACTTAATAACAGACGAATAAGGAACTAATGAAAATCTACGACTATTTATTTTACAAAACGAAAAACAAGTCAACCTTACTACTACCAAGAGGAACAGACTACTTATTAATTTTGTAAAATAACAATAAATTAAATAAAAGTGCATAATAAAAAATTTTAATTAAACAGAAAAAAGAAAAGTCGCAACCCATTGTCGATTAAACTTACTAATACAGTAAATTTACCAGATAGAAGTTCACGTCGAACTCCATCTTCTAAAGGATCGATTGAATCCACATTTTCCGTATAGCGCATTCGCTAAAAATAGAAAATCAATTGAGAAACATAAACAACAAGTAGATTTACACTTTATTTACTTATAGACAAACAATACAAACGCATTGAGTATATATTAGTTATTGTATGAAACACTGATCATACTATTAACGCTTAAGATCTTGAGGAATAATCAAACTCATCCATTAATTGTAGTTTTACTGTGATCGGGATATTAGACAATACTACTTGTATGAAGGACGGTGATACTTCCTCACTTCTCATAAAAAATAGATGAAGTGTACTTCAAACTTGTGACTTAGTGGTTTAAAGATGAATGTTTCAACCAGTAAGTCAGTTTAGCAATATATAATGGAAGTATAAATTAATAAGTAGAACAATTATATTCATAACTGAGTGTGGCTCTACCTTTTACACATTCGATCGATAGCGCTCATGTGGTGGACAAGACTGAAAAATATTTGAGTCAGTCACAAGCAAAGTAGAACCTGAAACATAAGAGTACTGATTCGAATTGATTGGGGCAGCACATAAATACAGCGGAAGGAAATTGTCAAGAATAATGTCTTAGACCAACAGTCAATGACTTCATGGACTAATGCCACGTTTTGTTTAGGCGGCCCCTAACCTACTTCCAAACCACAACCAGCCAGTATAGCTGCATGTATTTAACTATTTTGAATCATTTCCCTCCTTCGACCACATATTTACCATTCGTCAGATCTTAGAACGCAAGCATGCTTATCGACGTACAACAATGATGGTCTTTCTTGATTTAAAAGCAGCATTTGACTCTGTAGATCGAGAGGTTCTGTGGCAGTGTCTTTCATTAAAAGCGTACCTCAGAAGTACATTAAACTTGTGAAGGCTCTTTACTCAAACACTACTAGTCGAGTCAGAGCTTACGGCGAACTGTCATCTGCTTTTGCAACCTCAAGTGGCGTCCGTCAAGGCTGTCCACTTTCTCCATTTTTGTCTAACTTCATCATAGATCTACTAATGGACATAACGCTCTCATCGACTGAATTCTCGGGCATTGATCTCCTATCAAGAGGTCCACTTATCGACTTAGAATACGCAGATGACATAGTCCTGTTTGGTGAAGACGCCGATGAAATGCAGAGTCTTTTGGTAGCACTGAGCAACAATGCCAGAATGTTTGGGATGCGCTTCTCTCCCTCTAAATGCAACTTGTTGCTTCAGGACTGGCCTGCGTCAACACCTGAACTAAGGATAGGGAGTGGAGTAGTCGAACGCGTTGACAACTTCACTTATCTTGGAAGTCTGGTCAGCCCTAATGGGTTGGTGTCTGACGAAATCTCAGCACGGATTCTAAGAGCTCGTTTGGCTTTCGCCAACTTACGTCACCTATGGCGAAAGGGAGATATCCGTCTATCAATTAAGGGACAAGTATACTGCGCGGTAGTTAGTTCCGTTCTACTATACGGCTGCGAAACACGGCCTTTAAGAGTAGAAGATATTCGTAAGTTACTAGTATTTGACCACAGATGCCTTGGAAATATTGCTGGTATCTGCTAGGATCACCGGGTAAGTAATAGTGCGGTTAGACGCAGGGTATTAGGGAACGATGGTAAATCAGTTGATGAGGTTATGAACCTTCATCGATTGAGATGGTTGGGCCACGTGTTGCGTATGCCTGAACACCGATTACCACGACGCGCAATGCTAACCGGTGTTAGGGATAATTGGGAGAATGTTGGGGACGACCAAACCAAAACGCGGCATCAGTGCTTGAAGTCACTAACTTCTGGTCTGAGCTATGTTGGTAGATGCAGACTGCCTGGCTGGGCTCCGCGTGACTATCGTAACCAATGGTTGGAGACTCTTGGTGACATGGCTCAGAATCGATCACAATGGCGTAGGTGTATACCCTCTCTATCTTCCCTTAAACTATGAGATCAAAATCGCTTCATATCTTTCTTTCTACGAACTAATTCTTTCTTCATGTACTATCTCCTTATATGCAATCTTCTATATATTACCACCACTGAATTAAATACTTCTGTGAATCCGGTGTTTATCTTGTGCTAATGCGATATGGCAACTTGGACCGATGCATATATGTGCCTGGTCCTACGTTGTAGAGGACTGACTGATGAAGTCTTATGAGTTTTAATTAATGATGCATGTAGTCACTCGTAATCATATGTTTAAAATTACTGAAGTTATACTGTGGAAAATCAGCTCTTGCACAATTTCGAATGCAACCTTTAGATCACATTCAACTACTTGCATTCCAGTTGCTAAGACCTTACTTTTTTCAACTAACTGCCCTGTGTTAAATAAGGAAAATCGAATATAGAGGCCATACACATTAGTCAAGCACTGAACTTACACAATTTTGCCCAACAATACATGTGTAAGACATGACATTTGATGTTTCGTCTTCAAAGACTTTTTCACCCAATTAGTTATATTGATTGATCAATGTGATGATTACCCATTACGTACTATAGGTCGAATTCTATTGTTCATCATTGACTATTTATTTATTTTAACACATAGATATTGGTACAAGGAGGCACCAAATACATATGCGCCACACGAATCTCAATTGATTTGTGTGAGGGCCGTGATACTGCCTGGGTGCCCAAACCGAAGCAGGTGGTTTTCTTAGGGGGCCACACTCCGAACCTTCGACCTGAACGTCTGACCCACAAGGTAGTGGGGCATCGTAAGGAGATGCAGTCCCGTGATAGCCGGTGACCAACGATTGGTTCATACGCCATTTGTTCCATCAAGATACTGGAGCCCATGTGCACCATTGGTTTAGCGCCGGAAATTCGCTTTTCGTCCTCTCATTTTCGTAAACAATACCTCGCCATGAGAAGGCAGTAAGTAGGACTTCCCTGGCAGAGGCTATATACGCGTGGCCATGTGAGAGCATTTCGCGAGTTAACTGGTTTGTAAACACTGTAATTTTATTTCTTAGTTTTTGGGTTAAAATACTTATCATTTATCCAGCTAGTCATATGTTTGAATCCCGATCCACCTACTTTTGTTTGCACGGCCGTGGATCTTATTACCAGACATTACACTGTGGCTCAAAACTGAATACATAGACTCGTACTTGGCAAGTTGGTCCCATTATAATATATTATTGGATTTGCCTGGTTTGATTAGCATCCCCCTTAATTTACTGTAGTATTGTATCGTAAATTTGTCATGTAAAATTTAAATGAAGAAATGGTATAGTTTGAAACTGAACTGATTATATCAGATAAATTTGATCAACAAACGTAGGTTCATATTTTGATTTAAAGGCTATGAATATTCTTGGCACAACCTTGAAGATCAAGTTTCAATACTAATTAGTTCAAATACGACAACTCAACGTGAACAGTAAAAACGTCTAACATCAGACTATGTTAGGTTTTAAACTGTGGACTAGATAAATGGGTATTTTTACCAATTTATCAGTCTTTTTTGCTAACAACCTCGAGATTGGTATAATCGCAGCAAATAGACGAATTTGTTCGAAAGCGATATTAAATAACCCGTTATTTAGAAGCACCGAAGAAAATTTCTAAAAGCAGTGTGCTAAATTTGAGAATCAAAAAAATTAAGAGAGGGATAAGTTCCACTGACCCATAATTTCAATACGCCCCTTTCGCTAACTCGAATTGGTTAGTATGACAATAAGTTGATAGAAATACAAGGGACTACAAATTAATACCAGTTAAATTAATCTTAAATGTTTACTCAAGAATGGTTTAAAATATTGACCAGTTGTAGACTGGCAAAAAAGATCCACCTAAATATTTACTGAAAACAAAGAGATTTCTCTAAACTGTATAGAATTCATCCAACTTTAGCAACAAGAATAAGTCAACTAAACTGAATAAATTTGAACATCATAAGGGGGTTTCGATTGCTATGTCAAACTGCATCACCTACTTTAGTATTGGCAGTAGAGTGGTACCACTAACTCACATACAAGTAATTGTTTGAAGTTTATTAGCTAGAAAAATTCTAGCTCGTTGAGTGACGTTTTTAACTAACAAGGATTCATGAATTAAGAATAGATTTTCTTGTTTCTTTATTGAATTTAGTAATCATGAAGTGGATAAAAAGTCTGTAATAGGTATCATAGTTATTGTGCTGCATTGTTGCACATAAACACAGCTGTGTTTTACTGCCGTAGAAACTTTTATGTCTTGAGCGTCACGGTAATGATTTACTTAAGTTGAACATCAAAAGGTTATAGGTATTCTACTAATGGTCCTAAGTTGTAGCTGACTGACTAATAGTGAACGAACTGTCGTTAGCCTTCCCCTATTTTCAATATCGCCTCATACCATCCAGTTAGCAGTATTTTTAGCATTTTTTCAGTCATTTCTACCTTTAATCATTGAAAGAAATAAGATTCAAACAATTGTATTCCGATTAAATCGGGCATTGGATGCTTCGATAAATAAACTAGGTAGTTCTAGCTGAATATCATGCAAAGAATCAGGCGAAGTGTAAAGCCATTTCACGCAAAAGCAACCCGAAACGAGCAGACAAATAAAGAGCGGACTGGTGCCATACTTTTCACACTTTATATCAAGCTTATCATAAAATTAGCAGCAATATTATACAAAATGTAGCCACGATAATTTGTGATTTCAAAACACCTGCATACCTTGTTAGCTTTGTACAATTCCACAGCACGCTCCACATCTCTCTTGCGAGCTCTGAGGTACAAATGAGCCGCTTTTTCAGCTTCATCTTGCTGAATGTTAGTTCCACCGGGTAAACTTTTAACTTTGTTGATAAAAGCTTGTATTTCCTATGAAGAATACGTTGACCATAAAGAAATTACATACTGAACTACTGAGATCCTCAGGACTGGTCATAACAAATGAGTAAAGAAACGTTGCAAACTTTGAGGAAAAGTAAAGAAGGTTTGTCCGCTGCGTACTTAAAATCAGCGGCTTGAGCATGAACTCGCCCTTGACTTGTCTCCTGATGTAATACAACACAAAGCAATAATCACCTGAAAATACAACTTGTTATTACTTTCAATGTAAACGGAGATACCTTATACAGTGAAATATATAAAATGTATGATCCCTTAAAACTTAGGTTTGGTAAAGTCAAGTTCTTTCGATTGACCATAAACAGGACTTAAATAATATCCATATATGAATAAGAGAAACGATACAAGGAATTAACCATATTGACTAAGTCCAGTCTAGAGAGTGAACTGATATAGATAATCTGGTTTTCTCAGGCCAGGAGGGAAGTACTTATGACTCGACTGTTTAAAAAAAAGAACGGTTTGTGATCATTACTGTACAACTTCTATCAGTTAATAAATTTCAGAAGTGACATGTTGGGAGTTTTATGGTGGAAAATTCCATTATATCTGGGCTGCAACAGCATTCGGCAGCTTTCTAGCTCTGTATGGAAAATAATACTAGCTTTCTTATTACTGCTTTGAGCGTCGATGGATTTTTAGAACGTGTGCGTCTTTATCCATACTGAAATCAACTTTCATGTTGTGGTGCAGATGCAACTTCGTTTCTACGAGAGATTTGCATCACTGCAGATAATTTCGAAATTATTACCCATTTAATGTTATACACGTCCTTATGTAGACGACCACTGCGGTGGTTACGTACGAAACATAGAACGAGACACCAAACACCAATAATAACTAGAAGATGAATTAGGTCATCAATATTATTTATTGAAAACCTAAGTGAGTCGATACCCACTAGAGGTTTTCGAAGCCGACAGTAGTACAAATCCATCAACACTTAAATGTAAGCATTACGATATGTCTTACTAATTGAGTCTGTTCTCAAAAATAAGCTGAATCTGGTTTCTTCATGTTTTACCACGGTTTTCTTAGTTTTTTATTCTTGCCCAGAATGTCTACTGTCTGCTGCCATACTGGAACCACTTTGGCCCCAGTTCCGCCTAATTTGTTAAAGTTGATGCGTTTTTAACCATCCACAGTTATTATACTGGGTGTTTTATTATTTTTTCCTGGTAGATTTTGTAAGACTTGAGACTCTCTTTTGGGTTCTATCTTTAAGAAAGGCTGTATTGGATATTTTTGGTTGTGCTTGTTTTACTATCCAACATTTTTTACCTTCAGCTACAGCTCCGTATAACGTATAATGCAGACATGTTGTGTAGAGAACGAGAACACAATTTGGGACAGTTGAATGTTTTGAATACGAAATTACAGAACATTTTAGTAAAGTCTGGGAACCATACAGTAAATACTTCGTTTGCAAAATGTCAGTCAATTGTCTCAGACTTCGTTGTTTCTTCGTTTCCGCACCGATCATTCTTTGTTCCCGTTCTCTTTTCTTCAATCTTCATAACTTCCTGTCGCCAGGTGTTTCACTTTCGCCTGGTGATACATACTACTTATATCTATCGAAATCTGTAGCACACAACACACCTGCATTTTCACAATTGTATACTGACTTTGGAACACAATATCTGGCTGGAGATGTGACCGTCAAACGAATTACTAGTTAACCTGTACTCAGTGAGTGATCAATTCAAATATCTCAAATGTAGATCCCCATAATATACCTTTTCAGTTTGTCAGTCTATCCATCTATATATTAGTCATATCTCATTATTATTTGGATTTGCATATATTGGGGACCCCTTGACCAACTGAGACTTTGAACGGTTTGCACTTACTTAAATACGATACAGACTGAAGTAGTGTAATCCATTCCTAAAATTATTTCATTCTATTGCCACTATTATATCTATAGTGATACACATGGCAGTGGTTCTAATTGACGGCATCGATATAAGTCCAATTCACCTACATATACTTCTATAATAAATTCATCATTCTTATTGTTTCAATTCTTTTGTGTCCATTCAACTATCGTACTTTGATTCCAAAGATGTCACCCAGTCACACCGGAAGTCAGGAGTGAAGGGTCTTGGAGATTTATTTGAAAGGCTATCAATATATCGTAACCCCTATAATCTAAGCTGGCTAACGTCTATAGGAAATGTGTAGCACGGTATGCCCACTCGTGATCCGTTGCGGATGAGCATTCAGCTAGATGTGTCCGTTAAACTAATGATGTCAGCATCAAATGTGGAGTACCTATGGAACTGGTTATTTTGAGGATTTATTTGCCGCTACAGTTCTATTTATTACTTATGCATATCATAGTCAACTCAGTCGCTTAAGTATATCTTTGAGAATATTGGTAGTTGAGTTTTACTAAATGTAAGTGTCCACTGTCACCGCATTAAAGGCAGTAACTACCATACCCACTCACTACAGTATGATGATCCTAAGTTATACAAGTGCTTTTCGTTGTTTTACATTTTTTGAGCGACTTCATGGGTTTTTGTTTACTCATATGTCATCGATTCGATTTGCCATAGTGTGGTACAATGGTACCCATATGGCTTATTGCATGCACGTGTTGGGGGAACGCTGACACATTTGACTGTGTTCTTGAATGAACATACACACGTTAGTATCTCATCACTCTCAATTCATCGCCGCAATCCACATCATTTCATGATAAGTTTACATCCAATGTTGTCTAACCTGTCTTGGTGTTCAGGTTTTCAATATGATGGTTAGGTCTTTTCCTGTGTATTTTTCTGTGATGGGCTGCAGCCTATATTGAAACCGATGTTCGTCATGTTCACCTATATCATTGATGGATGAGTGAAACTGGAAACAATATTCATTGCAGACCCTTCTTTCTTTGTTTTGAAAGCTGCTTTGGTGATCATGAATTCTTGTGTTTCACAGCACTTATGTATCAATTAACCGTTTTTGAATAATGATAATCCTGTGAGGGATTCCAGTTTTTCTGAGGACAGCATCAATCCATAGTATATTTTTTCATGATCAAAATACATCAGCATCTCTCCCTGGGGCAGCTTTTTGTCCAACTTGATCTTGCAAAGTTTCATTATTTCCGAACACAGTCAGATTTCTTTCCATTTTTCGACTGTTTAAAAGACCCTCCTGAACTTCCACATTGCTCGAATATTCCATGTTCTATGTTTATTGATGCCCTGTTAATCAAAAGAGGCACCAACCTCGAGGCTTTCGAAGGATGTCAGTTATTTTTCCATAAGGTGGGGCTTGTTAGACAACTAGAAAGCTTTTAGTGACGTTAGTTTTCAATCACACTATCAGTTTACCGGAACGTACCATAACTTCAAAGACTCTTATCAGCCGTTCGACGCTTGAGAAGTTAGATGAATGTGGGAACAATTGACCATTCATGCTTGGTAAATCTACGTAACCTCCTGATCTTTGCACCAGTTATATTGTTATATCTTCAAACCAAATGTGTTCTTCAAAGGTTCTTATATATGAAGTTAGAGAAAACAAATCTCTAGACATTTATAAAACATATCGTAAAGGTTACTTATAGACGAATGCTTGATGAAGGAAAAAGATTATGAAATCATGCAAACAGAAATTGTCAGATTGAGAACAAAGTGAGAAAGTTATGAAAGAAGAGTTCTTAATTTAATAAAAATATTGTTATGTGCGAAAGTAATCTATTTAGGAACTAGCCAAGAGATTTGAAGGTTCTGAGTTTGATCACTGATTGTGCTCACTGTCTAAGCAGTGTCATGTGCGGACACGGAACAGATATGCAGTAATTCCGGAACTTCAGTGGTTACTTCTATCAAGAGATCTCGATTGGTTTAATGAAAGCAATTATTATTATAACCAATTATACCAGTGATAGTTTTACTGTGCTCGTTTGTTTAACTGTGCTAATGACAGCCATATTGCCCTTCCATTGGCCTCCATTACATTCTGCGCTGTTTGTGACTCTGTACGCACGTACTCCTTCCTGTCGATTCCACTTGTACTCCTTTTGGCACGATCCCGGTATTCGTTCGATACCACGAGATCGCCAACGAATAAACTTGGTTATAATCTATTCTCGCCTTCTGATTTGTTTGTAGTGGTGTAGTGGTGTTCATAGTCAATCGCGACTCGACATTCACGCTGCACCCTTATCATCCACGAGCCTTGAGCTTAACTTCCTTTGACGAGTATCTGGCATCACGAGGAAAGCGACCAAATGTTTTCAGAAACGATAATTGAAATCTACGAAACGATCACCAAACAACGTCGACAAATCGAAATTTGTTTAGAACTGTAAGATCCAAACTAGGGTTTGGACTGAAGAATGGCTGTCTAGGTGGGTTAGATAGATACACACCCTTGCCCGGTTGAAAGCAAAACATAGTGATTGGGTAAAATGACGGTCCTAATATTCATCATAAATTTAAATATACATTGTTACCTAAACAAATATGACCACCCAGCTATCCAACCAACAATTGTTCAATTAATCAAATCTAAATTACAATAAATAAGGAAGTTGATAAAGGATGCAAGAAAATTACCAATCACAACAAATAAATGTTATTCTATCCTGTCCGGACAAATCACGCACAGATTCGTTCAAAAGATAATATTTGGTTGCTTTATAACACAGAGTGTTTCCAATTCTGGAAAAGTGCCTCAATTCACAATCAAAAATGCACAATTCCAGTCAATACAAGCAACACAATCAAAAGAAGGAACAAACCAATATGGCTGTCGCCAATAATAATTATCAAATTAAACAACACGAAGGAAGTTCAGGAAGAAACATGGAAACTTAGTGAAGGCGTAAAAAACATAAAAACTGTAATCAAATACAAATGTTATCAACTCAAATGGGATGAAAAAGACTAACAAAAATGTACAATTAAAGATATCAATAAGAATAAACATTCGAAATGGATCCTTCACCGGCCCTTAAAATCCCTCGATATAACACAAGCCATCTTGATACATGTAGTCATGGTTCATCCTATGACATATTCTATA